AACTAACGATCTCATCTTGGCCTAGTCGAAGCCTCGGGTATAGCCTCTTTCCTGACTAATCGAAACTTGCGGGAGCAACTACGGAGATTATGCGGCTGTCGAAAACAGATCTAGTCAGCCGCTTGGCTGAAACTATCCGGATGTACTCACGCGACGACAATCTTGTCCTCACTATTAGTGCGACCACTTATAATGGCAAAAGTGTTACCTCTGTACAACTTGCACTCGTAACTTACAAAACAACTTCGGAGATTCAGTGTTACCTCACTTAAAAGCATTCAAATCATTATTTGAACATAAAAATGGATATTATTAGGGCAATACTTTCCGCCAGTGTATATAGAAGAGTGTCAGAAACTGATGAACAGGAATCGGGAGAAGTCGGGTGAAGTTGCCCCTGTCAAGACTATCTCGCCGCCTTCAGCTTCTTTAACTCAACCTACAAAAGGCAAAGCAGTCATTGATTGCATTGTTGGACCACACTAGTCTAGTGGTATACGCTATTGGAGCCGACGAAACAATGAAGACGGCAACAGTGACATGGAAGAAGGAGCAGCCAACCTACCTCTACGTCTTTGTCCTCGTTCAGAAACTCTAGAACTAGCAGTCATTAATCAAGAAGAACTAGAACAGCTGAACAGGTTTCCTCGACGGTTGAACGTGCAGCTGTATGTGGTTTCTTAACAGCTGCTACTGTCACCACATGGTGTCTTCAAGTCCCCGTCTCCTCAATTGGCAAGACCTACCAAACGGAGAAAAATACAACATCACAGTGGCCAACAATCAAGTTATTGAAGCTACCAGAATTGGAGATATGATACTAGAGTCTGACGACACCGAAGTTTCCCTTCACCTTAACAAGGTTCTCGTCGCTACGGGACTCGGATTCAACCTACTGTATTATCACAAGCGCAGCTGATGGAAAGTGACATATGTTTCGTCAGCATTGCCAACACGATGCTCACGGAGTTGTGCCTGGGCGACAAGAAGGAAGACAGAAGCAATTTAGTCGGCATCGCAGAAATTAAAGACGACGAATCTGTTTTACGATTTTCACATATGAAGGCATCTGGTGACAGTGAGAAGAACGTCTCACTTGCTCCTTGGCATCATTATTAGGAAACGGATTTCCAACACTAAGACCATCGTGGTCTCAATGTCTTATGCGTCACGCTTTAGCCTTCTCGCACCAACTCCCTCGACAAACCTGCAGCAGAGCCAACAGAAGCAGCATCAGCAGCAGCAGAAACAGTTCAAAATACATGGGCATCTAGAGATGGAAATTGGGGTTACGACAATCAAGAACCAACATCTGCTATAGTCGAAGAACCTATGGAGGTTGAACGCACATGGGGCAAGAAAGAGTAAATCGTACCTGATGCTTGGGCGCGTCGCTGACATCTCGGCATACCTTGGGTTGAAACTGCAGAAGAAGCTGGGTTCATCCAGCCTTTCAGCACCGGCCGCTGCGTCAACTCTGCGCCAACGATTCATCTTTCGCTAGCGTTTTCAGCGACGTACTCTTCATGCCGCAGGAAGCGGAGGATATCAATGGCAACAACTACCGCTACATCATTACCTTCATCGACGGTGCTACTCATTATGTCTGGCACAAGAATATCACTCATAAGTCTGAAGCTCTTGATACCTTCAAACTATTGCTGAAAATCGCGGAGCGGCAAAGTGACATCAAGCTAAAAGAGATCCAAACAGACAAAACGTGCGAGTACACTAGCGAGCAGTTCGATGAATTTCTGGCGCGGAAAGGGATTCTGAGATGAAAGGCTGTGTCTTATGCTCATCAGTAGAATGGAGTAGCTTAACAGACGAATAGAATATTGCAAAAAGAGATGCGCGTACTGCTAAAACAATCCATTTTTATAGCAGACTTTTGGCCGTTTGCGATGGCGCAAGCTGTCCACCTACACAACTGCTTGTCTTCAACGTCTCTTCCTCAATTCAGCTCGTCACATGTCATGTGGACAAAACACCCCGCCGACACTTGACTATTGCGAGTTTGGGGCTGCATGGTCCAATACAGACCTTCGAGCGCAATTGTGGGCAGATTACGGAACGGGCTCGATGGGGAATACTCCTCGGTATACCTAAAGGTTCCTACTCCTGGATAAATATGGATTCGAAACCTGAAAGGTTTTGTATGCCCGAGACTGCATCTTCTACAAGAAACTTTTTCTCGACGACTTCGAATGCGACAAGGAACGCCAGCAGCGGGATCCTGATCGCTACAGTGCCGAACGGAGCTTCGCCACTCCTCAAGACAAAGCAAATGCAGCCGAAGAATATTATCTGCCCGACAGCGTAGCAGCAGGACCTTCTACAATTCCGCAGCAGTGTACATCAGCAGCCGAACAATTGTTTGCCTCCTACATTCCTTCGACTCGTGCCAAACAAGACAGAAACCCCGCTCTTCATTCACCTCTCGGACCCGTTGCGTTCTGCCATGATACAGGCTGCCTATAATTATGTGGAGCACCTGCGCATATAGAAAATTGACGCAGCATGACAAGACGATGGCCCCCATCTGCCATCCGAAATTGACGATAATAAAGTGGTCGAAGTTTGCCAACCTCATCCTCGTGGTGATCAATCGGCTCTTCAAATCCTCGGCCTTGCTGTCCCAGTTCAGCAACCAACGACCGGGATCGAGCAGAAAAAAGTCAAGCAAGCCCTCTCCGGCTCTGATGCTGACAAGTGGTGAGCAGCTATGGATGCAGGGGTAGCAGCTCTCGAGAAGCGGAAAACGTGGAAACTCATTCCATGCGAAGCAGCAAGCGGAAAGAAAAATCTTTCGGGCAAGTGGGTCTCGCATAAAGACAAATGCAGCAAGCAAACATGATAATTCAATGGGAGATGGGTCATTCGAGGTTTCGAACAAACCCATGGCATCGACTATGACCAGACTTTTGCTCAGGTCAGCCGCCATACCTCAGTTCGAATTCTTCTCGCTATTGCTGACAGCCGCCATCCTCCACTTCGCCAACTGTACGTTAAAAACACGTTTTTACATGCAGATGTTGATGCAGATATTTTCGTCGAACTCCCTCACACTTACGGTGACGAACTCCACATCTGCAAGTTACTAAAATCACTCTACGGCATCAAACATGCTCCTCGCTTATGGCAGCAACATTTTCATAAAGTGCTGATTTCACTCGACTTCGTGTAGATGCCCCACGATCTTGGAATGTACAGACACGGATTTCGAGGGCATTACATTCTCCTAGTCGCCTACGTGGACGACTTATTGTACACCGGCTCGTGCAAGAGTCTTCTGGCATGCATGGAGAAAAGAATCTAAACGATTCTTGAAGTGACTATTTCTCCAAACATCACCGAATTCTTAGGTTAAACGTCGAATGTGGCCCCGATGCCATCTACCTTTCTATAAGCAAGCACGCAAAAGTACTTGTGAAAAGTTCGCCATGGCTCCTATCGGCTTCACCACTTCATTTCGTCACATTTGGACCGATCATACACCTGATACTGCCCCACTTACCGCCTCCGAGCATCAGCTTTACCAGCAGCAGCTTGGGTGTCTTTTATTTGCAGCCGTTACATGCCGCCCAGATCTTGCCTGCACCAGGAGTCAGCTCGCACAGTACCTGCGCCAACATGAAGAGGAGAATATGGCCGATCTTCGTCGAGCTCTCCAATATTTCATTTCTACTCCTACAATCGCCATCAGCTACACGACAAACACTGTAGCAAATTTTGACTTACTGGATACGTTGATGAGGATGATGCTGCTGATCCCGACAACAGGAGTTCGCATACATGGTCCATCTTCAAACTTGAATCAGGTGGTGCCATTTCATGGAACTCAACGAAACAGGAAGTCATCGCATTTTTGTCAGCCGAAGCAGAATTCGTCGCAGCAAGCTCTGCAGTCCGTGAAGGACACTATCTTCAAGAGTTACTCCAAGAGGCGAAAATCGCAACGACACGTAACTTCAAGCTACTCTGCGACAACCACAGCGCAATCAAGGTTGCAAACAAGCCCGGCTTCGTCAACATGACAAAACACATCGCCCTCCGTTACTTCTTTGTCAAGGGCGCAATCGACAAAGAGAAGGTCATTCTGAAATACTTTCCTACATAAGAAATGGCAGCTGATTTTCTGACGAAGAAACTCCCACGCGACAAGTTTCAGTACTGCTCCAACCTGGTTGGAATCTGCAAACGCGGCGACACTTATCCAGAGACATACACTAAGGAATGGAGAGGATTGTTGAAGTATACTCGACAGAGTTTACTTATGCATTCCTGTTATAATACTTAGACTGTACTAGTAGCGCGATACCTTATATGGAAGGTCGCGCGTGATGACAACAACAGTAGCGAGTCGATGTGTAAACAGTAGGTTCGCGCGATTAGTCATACGAAGGGTCACGCCACTTGTTGGGCTGGGATTATTTGTTTCTAACACCATTCTCAGCCACGAACAGTCACCGGTCACGTCACGCGAATAGTCGCGATACACTACGAACGTGTACATTCTGAATAGGTACTTCCTAGACTATAAATATATTGTAATACTCATTATTACTATCCGTGTCATTTCGGGCATTTGCAATACAAGGTGTAAAGTCTTCCGCTGACTTTCTACTCGTGGTTCCACCAAGTCTAGATCTTGGCCACCCTAAACACGTGGTGAATTTCAACAATGCATATGACATTTGCGTAGCATTGATGCACTTATAGTGTAGTGGCAGTACGATTGTTTTAATTTTCGTAATTTTCAACTAGTGACCAGTTTACACCAGGAGATTGAGCTTCTCATAGCAATTAGTGTTAATTCATTTTTATGTATGTACTAAATTAGCATATCATCCGTACTATATCATGTTGATGAATGCCCCTAGTGTGCTGTTTGATAAATGACGAGGACCAGGCATCACTGTACTTCTCTAGAAGTCATCAGAAGCCGACAAGTCAGTATAAGACGCAGTGGCGTTTTCAAGGAACAGTGAGCGTCGGCTTAGGTGTACTAGGATTGGGAATGCCGATAAAGCCGTATTCCCGCCTCTTATTGGCTCGCGACTCCTGCGACCCTTCGCCTTTCGCCGGAACTTCTGTTCCGGCACGGCGAAGGCGTGCGCGAAAGCTTCTTGACCACTAAGACGATGTACTAACGCGGTTTAACGAACCATTGGGTTCCTACAATGAGGGGTAGGAGATTCTCCTTTCGCCTAACCTGGGGAACTAGGCTATGTATGGTATGCTGACCTATGCCAACCTATGTTATCCTGTGCTAACTTGTCGTTTCCTATCAGCAACCTAAGAAACCCTCGTTCGGTAGAAGGGTGGTCCTGGGGTGTTGTTGATGGAAGTTGGTTGGTTCTTGAACCTTCTTGGTCTCATCTTGCTTGCAATGCCTACTAAGTTTGTTGCTGTAGTTTCTTGGTCTCCGACTTCAACGGATGACTTTATAAGTTCCTCCCTTAGAACAATTTTATCGCCGGTTCACGGTTGTTACGCTCACCTCATAGGTCTTGCCACGTCTTGCTAAATCTGTTTTTGGCGACGGAGGAAGTTAATGATAAAATCCTGATGAAGTCATTGTGGGAACTATCAGGACTAAGGGGAACCGGATACTAATCGCCGAATAAGCCAGAACTTATTCCTCATCTTTCCGAAGAACTTAGTTGGCGAGATCTCATGGTTGGGTCTGTCGATGCGGACTCAACTCCGACCGCGTACGCTGACAAAGACAGGCCGAGCCCAGGTGCACGTACTATGAAGGGCGACTCGGTTGATCCGAGCGAGAGCGGCGTTAGCGACGGGATCGAGACGCGGGGAGAGAAACGGAGGAGAAGCAACAACGACGAGGGTTCGGACGAGGCTGGAGTGCTAAGGAAAGAAACAATGCGAGAAGAGGAGCGTTCAGGGGAGCACTCTAAGGTCGCCTGTCAGATAGTAACTAAGAAGGAGGAAGGAGATTGTTCCCCGGTGCGGGGGAATGGCGGAGTGAAGAGAAGACGGCTCTCGACTTCGGATGAGAGGAGTTGTCCAGACGAAGAACGGATCGAAAGAAACAAGCAGGGTACTAACGGAAGTGATTATAAGGAGGGCGACAATGACGCAGATCCGGCCGACCGGGCGGACAATGCCGAGGGGGACTCCGAAACCCTCAAGCCAGAGTTCACAGTAACGAAGATGCGCATAACGGGTACGACCGCTGACGGTACGGTCAACAGGGACGGAGAATCTGTAGAGGCTTCTGCAGCCACGGTTCCTCCATCGACAGCCGTGGATGGAAAGCAAGCCACGGATCCTGACCGTACAGCTGCGACTGCTGCTACTAGCGGTACCGCGTCAGCTTCTAAAGCGGATTCTCTTGCCGCTACCCTGACAACGACCGTCGGGAATGCTAAGGACGTCAGCGTTCCGGACCTGAACGCATCTGACGGTGTGGACTCGTCCCGTCCCCCGTCGGGTCCCCGTGCATCGGCCACCACTCCTTTGTCTGTGGACAAACCTTCTCGAGATGCTGACGAGAAGCTTGTATCGCGTACAAACGCTCCGTGCGCCGAGGCCTCGGCCGCGCAGCCTTCAGGAGCGACAGGGAAGGGACAAGCGGGGGAGCCTGCGGAAGGGGGGGACGTGGGGGATCAGGCGGAAGGGGAAGGGGAGGGGAAGGAAGTGACGAAGGCGAAGGCGGAAGGGGGTGTTCAGGAGGGGAAGGGGGACGCGGGGGATCTCGCTGAAGCGAAGGGGGAGGGGAAGGAAGAGGAGGGGAAGGAAGAGGCGGGGAAGGAAGAGGCGGGGAAGGAAGAGGCGGAGGAGACGGAAGAGGTGACGGAGAAGGGGGAAGGGGAGATGGGGGCAGATGGTGTTGTGAAGAGAGAGGATGTAGGGGGCAGTTGCGTTGATGGCTCTGATCACGGTGCCAAGCCTGATTTTGAGTCGACCCAAAAGCACGGTGCTAAGCCTGACTTTGCGCCGACCCAAAAGCACGGTGCTAAGCCTGACTTTGCGCCGACCCAAAAGCACGGTGCTAAGCCTGACTTTGCGCCGACCCAAAAGCACGGTGCTAAGCCTGACTTTGCGCCGACCCAAAAGCACGGTGCTAAGCCTGACTTTGCGCCGACCCAAAAGCACGGTGCTAAGCCTGACTTTGCGCCGACCCAAAAGCACGGTGCTAAGCCTGACTTTGCGCCGACCCAAAAGCACGGTGCTAAGCCTGGCGCAGGGGCGGGTAAGGTGGAGGAAGAGGACAATCGACGAGAGAGGGAGGCGGCGATGGTGGAAGGAAAGCAAGGAAGCGGCCCCAGCGATGGCGGGGAGGAGAGCAGCACAGATATGACCAAGAGCGCTGGGTCGAGCGACTCTTATCAGGAGGAATCCGAGAAGACCAAGCTACATGTGGGTCGAGTGGTGCAGGTAACACCTGCCGTTGGGTCCTCCCAGCGACAGCCGCAGCAGCATCTGGTGCAGGTGGTATCTGTGAACGAGGAGAAAAGCCCGGAGCAGCAGCAGGAACAGCAGCAGCAGGAGGAGGAGGAGGAGAAGCAGAAGCCAGAGCCTCTGGTGGAGGTGGTATCTGTGAACGAGGAGAAAAGTCCAGCGCACCACCACCAGGAACAGCCGTGTCCTCCAGTGGTGGAGGTGGTATCTGCAGGGGAGTTGACCCAGCAGCGGCAACACTTGGTGCTCCCAGTGGATGCAGTTGTCTGCGTTGAGCCCCCTGCCCTGGCATCCGGTCCGATCCAAACTCCGTCTACCTTAGCAGTGGTGTCTGTTGCCGAACCTGCCGGGACATGGGTGTCTGTTGGCGGTGCGTCGCCCCAGCTGCCACTGCCGAACCTGCCAGTGGTCGATGTGGTTTCGTGTGCGGATGCTGCTGCTGCTGCTGTGCTGGATGCGCGTCAGCAGCTGCCGCCAGCACCAGTGGTCGAGGTGGTTTCGTGTGGAGATGATGCCGCCGCTGCTGTGCTGGGTACGAGGCAGTCTCTGCCGCCGGCACCAGTGGTTGAGGTGGTTTTGTGTGCGGATGACGCCGCTGCTGCTGTGCTGGACGCGAGCCAGGCCCTGCTAACCGCCAGTGGGATCGTCAGTGTTGTCAGCGCGGGCAGTGAGGAGGAGGGGAAAGTTGAGGAGAAGAAGGGTGGGGAGGAGAAGGGTGGGGAGGAGAAGGGTGGGGAGGAGAGGAAAGAGGAAGAGGAACAGGAGAAGGATGAGAAAGGGCGCCAGGAGGGTGCGAAGGAGAAAGAGCATGGCGAAGAGGAGAAGGGTGATGATTTGACACGGGAGAGTGAGGAGCAGGAGGGCGATATCTTGACCCAAGAGGGAGATAGGGAGCGGGTGGCAGCGGCAAGGGGAGCGGCAGAAGCAAAGGAGGCGCCATTGGGGGACTCTAGGGATGAAGCTGAGAGAGAGAATGGTGGGGAGGGTAGCGATGACGGCAAGGGAGTGCTGGTGGGGTGTGGGACGGGGTTGGAGGAGAAGGCTTGGATTGCTAAGGGAAGCGAAGGGGCAGGAGAGGAGGGCAGGAAGGGGGAGGAGGGGAGTGCGAATGGCGAGGGAGGGTTGAGGTATGACAAGGGATTAGAGGAGACGGATGAGATTGCCAAGGAGAGCCGAGGAGTGGCTGGAGATGATGAGACGATAATTTTGAAGACGGGTACAGGCGTTGAGGGAGAAACGGCGATGGACGTTGAGGGTCCGGAGAAGGCGGCATGTGAAGTTGGGGAGAGAGGTGGAGCTAAGGATGAGGGGGAGGTAGAGTTGAGGGGTGTTGCTGAGAATTCTCAACACCACCCTGCAAAATCAAGGAAGGAGAGAGATGCCATGAGTGGTGTTGAAGGGATGGAGATAGATACGCAGGATAAGAAGAGGGGAGAGGTGAGGGGGGTGAGGGGAGAGCGAGGGGAGGTTGCCCCTTCAGAGATAAGCAAGGGCGAATCTGCTGGTGATGCTGATGGGGATGATACGATGGGGAAGAATGAGATGACAGAGATGAGCGACGAGGGAAGGGAGATGAAAGAAAAGGGACAGGGACAGGGGCGGGCTGAGGAGGAAGCGCACGTGACGGGTGAAGGCGAGCAGGGGTTGACTCCAGCTAAAGAGAGGAGCAGGGCCGATGGAGCAGGGGTTCCTGCACTGGTAGAGAGGAATCTGCCCCCCGTTCCTGCTGCTGCCGAACCTCCTGCTGCTGCCGAACCTCCTGCTGTTGCTGCAAATGCTCCTGCTGAGGCTGTGGGTGGGGAGTCCAGAAGGGGTGCGGGCAGGAGGATGCGGGAGTGGGAGGAGAGAATGCGGGCATGGGATGGGGTCATGCGGGAATGGCATGGCAGGATGGTGGCTTGGAGTGGCATCATGGATGCATGGAGGGAGCAGAGGAGAGAGCGGAGGAGAGAGCAGAGGAGGGAGCAGAAGAGGGAGCGGAAGGGAGAACACCAGGGGCAAAGCAAGAGCGATCTTGCTGCTAGTGCTGGTGCAGATGGCGGTGCTTATGGTGGTGGGGATGACAGTGACTCTGATGCTAGTGATAGTAGCGGGGATGTTACTACGGAGGATCTGCAGCAAGCGTGTGATGGTAACCCTGTTACTGGTGCCCTGGCTGCTGTTTCTGCGGCTGAATCCGTAGCAGCTGCAGCAGCAGCGGCAGCAGCGGCGGCTGCAGCAGACGCAGCCGCTGTCATCGGTCCTGCTAAGGCTGCTAAGATCCTAGAGCACGCCGCTACAGCCGTGGGCCGTGCTGATACAGCGACAGCCGGCGCTACAGCCGGCAACGAGTGGCAGTGGGGCATGCCTGCAGCTCCGGCGCAGCACCTGCCAGCTCAAGTCCAGAAGAGCAGGCTGGCTGACTTCTGCAAGAATGCAGCAGAGCAGGATCAGTTGAATCTCACAGGGAGTGCGGCCGAAGCAGGAGGAGGTGAGAACCGCCTGAGTTCTCCAAGCGCTGGAGTGGAGCCACCCTCCGAGGCAGAGCTGGCGCTAGTACCAGGAGATACAGGGTATGGGGCAGTGCCTGCAGATACGGACTCTGGGGCGGCTTATCACTCTGGTTTGCCTTTTGGGAGTGACCGAGCGGTGGTGCCAGTGGGAGTGGCGTATGCAGCAGCAGAGGAAGCGGCAGGAGGGATGATGGGAGGCAGGGCTGGGAAAGGGGCGGGCAGGAGCAGACGGAGAAGCAGAGGGAAGGGCGTGGATTCGAGTCCTGGGAAGAAGGGCAGGGAGGATGCAGAAGCAGAGGCTCGAGAGCATCAGCAGCAGCAGCACCAGCAGCAGCATGTGCATCATCCTCATCATTATCATCACCCAAACCAGAAGCAGCAGGGTTACACGGAATACCAGGAGCAGCAGCCTCAGGAGCTACAGGTGCATGAGCAGCAGAATGGGAATACAGCAGCAGGGGCACAGGGAAGTGGCAGTCACAACTCGGGAGGAGGATATGGCGGAGGGGGAGGGGGGCACAGCAGCGGTGGTGGTGGCGGTGGGGGTGGTGCTGCTGGTACTAGTGCTGGAGGAGGGGTAGGAAACCACGGAAACACCGGCACCAGTGGCCGCTCCTGGCATTTCTCCGGCTATCCGGGGGTGTCGCGCAACGGGCGCAAATGGTCAGCCAAAGTGTCGATGAACTCGCAGCAGCGGGCACGGTACGGCGTGTGTCAGAACATGCACTGCGGGCAGTGGGAGGAGGTAGAACAAGCCGCAGCCGCGGCTGAAGCGGCGTGTTACGTGTTCAAGGGAGGGAAGGGCCGGGTGTTTAAGTTCCTCACGGAGCAGCAGAGGGACGTGCTGAGTGACATGGATCCCGACGAGGGGATGTGGATGATCAAGGCTAAGAGGTGGCGCGAGTGGAATGTGTGGGCGCCGAACCAGACTGGGTGGGTGAAAGGGATGGGTTTGGCTGAGAGCGTGGACGGGGCTGGGCTGGTAGGGGGGCAGCAGGAGGGGCACGGGGAAGGAGAGGGGCAGGGGCAGGAGGGTCCCGGGTATGGAGGAGTGGGAGAGGGTGTGGAGGGGCAGGAGGGGCAGGAGGGGGAGCAGATGCTTCTGGGGTGGCACGAGGGATGGGAGGAGAGGCATGGGGATGGGCGGGGGGAGGAGCAGGAGAGCGAGCAGGAAAGGGAGCAGCAGAGAGAGCAGCAGAGGGAGCAGCAGAGGGAGCAGCAGAGGGAGCAGGAGGAAGGTGGGGGGCTGAAGGGCAAGGAGCGAGGGCACGATGGGAAGCGGGAGAGTGGGGCAGGTGAAGCACGGGGGCTAGAATTAGATCTCAACGCTCAGCAGCCCTCGCAGACTTGCTTTGAACCTCCGACGCCCATTGCTCCACCCCCCTTCCTAACAGCACTCCCTGCATCCCCTACCCCTCACCCAGCACTTCTGCCCCCACCGCCTGTCTCTCATCACCCCATGCCCGCTGCACACCCAGCCCTGGACTCACTACGCTCTTCCTCTGCCTCCGGCCCTCCCACTGCCTCAGGCTCCTCTGCCTCTGCTGCCGCTCCTGCTGCCTCTATCCCCCCAGCAGCAGCGGTGGCAGCAGGTTTGCAGAGCCCGCCTCTGCAGCATGTGCAGCCTGTTGCTTCGATTCGGGAGCTGCTAACGATGCCACCTCCCTTCTCTGTTCCTCTACCAGTAGGTCTGCAGCAGAATCAGCTTAACCAGCAGGAAACTCGGCAGCAGCAGCAGCAGCAGCCAATGCACCAGAGTCAGCCGCAGCAGCAGCAGCAGCAGCAGCAGCGGCAGAGCTTTGTTCTATCACTCCCATCTGCCTCCACTCCACCGCTACACCCACCACCCATGCACCCGTCACTGCTCCCTCCCCCTCAGTCCTTCCTGCAGCAGCATGGGGGCACTCTAGGCCTCTTCCCCCCCCTACCTCCCCTCCGCACTCCCACCACTGCTCCTACTGCTGCTGCTGCTGCTGCTGCTGCTGCTGCTGCTGCTGCTCCTCCTGCTGCTCCCGCCACTGCTCCCCTTCCTACTGCCACGACTGCTGTTCCAGTCTCTACACCCCCCCCTGCTGCTGCCACCACCGCCAGCAGCATACCAGCTCCGGCCGCCACTCCCATTCCCACCCCGGCCTCTCCCCCTCCTCCCACCCCCACTGCAACCACTCTGCCCCTCTTCTCCTCTAACGAGTCAGCCCATAACGAGGCGTGGCCGCACGAGACAGCGGGGCAGCACCAGAGGGTGGCGAGGATTAGGGAGCTCCTGGGATCGTCCTTCAGTGTACTCAAGAGCAAAGGGCTGGGGGAAAGCTCACTAGGGGCGGATGCTCACGGCGGTGGTGGTGCCTTGGGGGGTGGGTCCCTGGAAGGTGGGTCGTCTTTAAGTGGTGGGACCTCGTTTAGTGGTGGGGGGCTACCTTGGGGTAATCCGAGGGGGAATGGCGGTGGCGGTGCTGGTGTTGCTGGTGCTGCTGATGGTGCTTCTGACGCTGTTGCAGCTTCCAGCATCACTCCTCCTTTTTCTTCTCCTCCCCCTCCTCCTCCTATCAGCGGTTCTAGTGGTCCTAATGCTGCTGGACCTACTGCAAGCAGCACCCCGCCGTTCCCCTGGCTATCTGTGCCCACACCAGGGGGTGCTGCGGCCGCCGCACCCCCACAGGCACCTGCCAGCACCCCCGACCCACAGACTGCTGCTACAGCCGCTAAAGCTGGTGAGACAACAGCAGAGGGAAGTGCCGCAACTGATGCTGCTGCTACAGCCACAGACGCCACAGCAGCCGCCGCCGCCGCCGCAGCAGCAGCTGCGCTAAACCCTGCGAACCACGGGCCTCGGCCGGCGTCAGGGTACCTAGGCGTGGTGAAGAGCGGGCGGAAATGGGCGGTGCAGCTGTCGATGAACATGAAGCAGCGGGCGAGCTACACAGTGGGTCACATTCTCAACTGCGGCGTGTGGGACGACTTGGAAGAGGCTGCGATCGCTGCTGAGGCTGCGTACCTAGTGCTGAAAGGAGAGAAGATTGATTTCCGGCTGCTGAATGAGGAGCAGAAGGGGAGGCTGAGAGAAATGGGGCCGGATGAGGCGGTGAGGATTATTAAGGAGAGGAGGTGGAAGGAGTGGCGGGATTGGAGGGCGGGGAAGGGTGGGGATGGGACGGGATGGTTTCTCGGGCAGGAGGAGGGAGGGGAGGGGAGGAGGGGAGGGGGGGAGGGGAGGGGAGGGGAGGACGAGGGGTGGGAGCGGCAGGAGGAGATGGAAGGGGAGGAAGGGAGGGGGAGGGAGAGGGGAATGGAGGTTGTTCCAGCCTATACTCCGCTCTCTCTCCTCCCACTGAGCCCCATGCATCACCCATCCTCTGCCCGCTCCTCGCCTCCTTCGTCTTCTGCTGCCGGCCACTCAGAACACGCAATCCCATTTGCTGCTGCAGCAGGAGCAGCAACAGCTAAACACCCAGGAGCAGCAGTAGTTACAGGTGGGCAGAGCCGGCATGCGTCGCCTCTAGCCGGTCGAGGTGAGTTTGGTCAGAACCAGTTTGCCTCGTCTCTGTCTCTATCCCTGGGCGCCTCCCCTCCGAGTGACCTGCTGAGGGGATCCGGAAAGGCAGCAAAGAGGGAGGAGGAGCAGGAGGAGGAGACAGGGATGGGTGGGATGGGTGGGATGGGTGGGATGGGTGATGGGTACCAAGTGGGGCAGAACTATGGGGATGTGCTGCTGTCCAGCGAAGAGCACCGCGGGAAGGGCTGGCAGGGTGGTGGTGCCTCTCATGCTGCAGGGCTGCATGCCGGGCAGAAACGGGCACACCAGGGGCAGCAGGGGTACCAGGGGCCTCGGGAGGGGCAGCAGGGGCCTCGTGAGGGGCATCAGGAGCATCACAGGGAGCACCACAGGGAGCAGCACAGGGTGCAAGGCAGGGCACAGTACGATTCTGAGCACAAGAGGCTTCGACAGGAGCACAGCGATGCAGCAAGCAGAGATGACCACCACAAGCATGGGAGGGGAGCAGCACACCACCACCCCGAGTCCTCGCAAGCCCTCATTCTCGCTGGCTCTTCTGCTCACGGGGCACCAGATCACCACGACTCAGCGCCCAGTCGCCGCGACTCAACACCGGGCCGTGCTGACTCAGCGCCAGGTCAGCATGGTGCAGCAGCGCACGCCTCCCTTCCGCAGCCTCCCGGGGAGGGCTACGCGTCTGGTTACTTTGGGGTGTTTCGTAACGGCAAGAAGTGGTCCGTGAAGGTCCCCATGGACGCAAAGCAGAGAGCTCTATATGGGGTATACCAGAAGCTGCACTGCGGGCAGTGGGAGGAGCTGTATGAAGCGGCAGCAGCAGCGGAAGCAGCATACTTTGTCTTCAAGGGTGAGGGGAAACGGGAGTTTAGGTTTCTGACTGAAGAGCAGAGGACGCTGCTGAGGCACATGGGGCCAGATACTGCGGTGTGGCTGGTGAGGGAGAAGAGATGGGCGGATTGGAAGGAGTGGAAGGGAGAGCGGGGGCCTACCCAGGCACACATGCCACAGCAGCCGCAGCAGCAGCAGCAGCAGCAGCAGCAGCAGCAGCAGCAGCAGCAGCAGCAGCAGCAGCAGCAGCAGCAGCAGCCACAGCAGAATCACCACCAGCAGCAGCAACACCAATCTCAGCAACAGCAGCAGCAGCAGGGGCGGTGGGAGGGGCAAGAGGAAGGTAGGCGGATGAAAGTGAAGGAGGAGGAAAGGAAGGCGGGAGAGGAAAGTGGAGGTAGGACCTGGTTGCAGCAGGGACAGGGGGAGGGCTGGCAGGGGCAGAGCGAGGGGTGGCAGGGGCAGGTGGGTCCGTCGCAAACGCAGCAATGGCAGCAACAGCCGCAGAATCAGCCCCACCAGCAGCCACAGCAGCAGCCACAGCAGCAGCAGCAGGTGCCATTGCAGCAAGGGTGGCTGCCCGTGCAAGCACAGGGTATTGCAGCCGTGCAGCAGCAGCAGAGCCAAGCGCAGGGGCAACCACCATGGCATACACAGGGTGTGACACAAGGGCAAACGCATTTACCAGCACAAGGGGCACCACAGGGCAACGCGGGAGGGCAAGCACAGGCATATACAGCCGGGCAGCAGCAGCAGGGGCAGGGAGAGTGGCAGGGACAGCCACAGTGGCAACCGCAGATGGGGGCAGCTGCTGGGCAGATGGGGCCCACGTGGCAGCAGCAACAACAACAGCCACCGGTGCAGCCTACACAGCAGCAGCAGCAGCAGCAGCAGCCGTGGCAGGGGCAGCAGCAGCAGCAGCAATGGCAGGGGCAACAGCAGTCACCGTTGCAACCTATACAGCAGCAGCCGCAGTGGCAGCAGGGGCAGCAACAGTGGCAGCAGGGACAGCAGCAGCAGGCACAGCAGTGGCAGCAGCAGGGGCAACCGCAGCAGCAGCAGCAGCAACCATTGGCCTTGGTTCCTTTGTCCAATCCAGAAGAGTCGCCTCTATCCCTACTCCCGTCCGCTGCTGCGGTTTCAGCCACCCAAGCAGCCAGGAGCAATCCTACAAGCGCAGATGAGAGAGAAGGAGGAGAGGGCGAGGAGGGAGACGAGGGGGGTCAGACCCGCACATCAGCCGCTGGTAGCGGGGCTGGTGGCTCTAGTCACGTCTCCTGGGCCTCTGGTTACTACGGAGTGGCTCGAAACGGGCGGAAATGGGCAGCGAAACTTTCGATGAACGCTGACCAGCGGCAGAGGTACACTGTGGGGAAGAGCATCCACTGCGGGCAGTACGAGGAAGTTTTGGAGGCGGCAGCAGCGGCCGAAGCAGCGAATTTCGTGTTTAAGGGAGGGAAGGGACGGACGTTCAAATTCCTGACGGAGCAGCAGAGGGACGTGCTGAGTGTGATGGACCCAGATGAGGCGATGGTTATGATTAAGAACAAGACCTGGAAGGATTGGAAGGACTGGCGGCCCGGAGGGGTGGTTGTTGGGGAAGGGGGAGCTGTAGGGGGAGGGGAGGGAGGAGGGGGAGGTGGGACAGGAGCAGGAGTGGGAGAAGGAGCAGGGGGAGGAGGGAGTGGGGTGGGACAAGGAAAAGGAGAGGCAGCAGCAGGAGGAGGAGGAGGAGGAGGAGGAGGAGGAGGGGGAGGGGAAGGGGGACGAGAAGCAGGAGGAGGAGCAACAGGGGGAGTGCCGAGTGGGTTTATGCATGGAAGGATGGTGGTGGGTGGGGGGATTCATGAGGAAAGGATCCAAGCTGGGAATGCTGCCATGCAGCCCGGGAGCATTGCAACGCAAGCTGGGAGCTTTGCTCTGCCACCTGGGGAGCCACCTGGGGGCAGTGGAAATCTCCCCACTTTTCCAACGGAGCCAACTGGGGTAGGTGCATCTGCTGGACTGGGTGTGGATCGAGGTGCATTGGGAAGAGGGGAGGGGAATGTGGGGAGGGAGGAGGTGCAGGAGGAGAAGAATTCGGAAGAGGAGGAGGAGGAAGGGACGGGGGCTAAGGAGTGGAAAGAGTATGTGTTGCGGCTTGCCATGGGCAATGGGTGAAGCGTTACCAAGCCAAGTTTTGTTATTCTAACGGTGTTTTGGTGATTTTTTTAAAGAAGCATTTCATATATCGGTTTTTCAGTGTCCCGCCTTTTGCCCATTTCTTAGTGCATGCCTACCGTATGTTGAAGGCTTCTTAATGAAGCCAGTACTTATTTCTCATAGCTTATTTTTTAATTCCATGTACTTTGTTGCTTTTATGTCTTAGAATGGTTGTGGTTACCCAACCCTCATCTCGGAATTTCATTTCGCGACCCACAAATTCGATTCGCCAGTCTCTTCCCTTGGAAAAGCCGGCTCAGCCTCTTATTTTCGAGCCCGATAAGCAATTATGGAGCCTGCGAGGTTGGAAAGCAGATCAGGTCTTTAGGTTTTGCCTAAGTTAGACTATACCGCTATTCGCTCGCCCGTACACGTAGTTTCGTGATTGATTCCGAAGGTTTCCATCTTGCCATAGATCGCTCGCAGCCTCGCCTGCTTCCCGCTCGTCGCTCTGACAAATTGCGTTTCGTTCTTCCAGTCACGGGTTTCCACTTTGGTTCTCGGTCGTCGCTCCTCGATCTTCGGGAGCAAACGGCGCCATTATTTCGCGAGGGATTTTGAGAATCTGAAGGTTCCGGTTGTTTGGGTTCAGAAAGCAAGCTTGTAGACTTCCAGAATTGCTGCGATGTGGCTTTTGAGCCGACTCATACGCTCTTACAGTCCCAGAGTCGCACCGGGAATACCTCGCAGTTTGGATCACTGCATACCACCGCATACCACTGCATACCACTGCATACCTCCGCATAACATACCTGCAGAATCGCAGTGGGAATACCTCGCAGGTTGAATATGGGGAGCAACGCGCCGCCGACGGAACATAGGCTCGAGGGGTTGGGTAGTCGTTCCGGAGGGGGTGGAGAGGGGAGGGTTCAGCGTCTAGGCGGTTTGTCCCTTGGGAATACCGTATTCAGAAGTCAAGCTTTCCGCAGCGCCTCTTTAGGGAGTACCGAGCCTCACGTTGTAGGGAATCCCGAGCCTAGTGCCGTGGGGAATACCGCATTCAGAAGTCAAGCTTTTCGCAGCGCCTCAAAACCAGAGGGGTGGGTTCAGCGTCTAGGCGGTTGGTCCCTGGGGAATACCGCATTCAGAAGTCAAGCTCTTCGCAGCGCCTCGTTAGGGAGTACCGGGCCTCGCGTCGCGAGGCATGCCGAACCTAGCGCTTCGGAGAATTCCGAGCCTGGGCAGCAGCAGCGCTTGGGCGGTCCTTCTGTGGTAAGTGGGGAGGTGCTGGTGCCTGGGGTCGGTACTCCCAAGGGCGGCATGCCTGGGGTCGTTACTCCCAAGGGCGGCATGCCTGGGGTCGTTACTCCCAAGGGCGGCATGCCTGGGGTCGGTACTCCCAATGGCGGCATGCCTGGGGTCGGTGCTCCCAAGGGCGGCATGCCTGGAGTCGGTACTCCCAAGGGCGGGATTGAACCTAAGCCGGAGCCTGTTGACGGTGTTGGAAGCTATGGGCATGGGCATGTGTCTTGGTATGCCAACGGGAATACCAATGGGCATGCCAATGGGAATGCCAAAGGGTATGCCAAAGGGCATGCGGTGAAGAGTGGGGATAAGATGGGGAGATGGGGAGGAAAAGAGGGCGTGGTGAAGGAGGCTGCTTTTGAGTCGGCTCAAAAGAAGATGGGGAGATGGGGAGGAGAAGAGGGGGAGGTGAAGGAGGAAGGTGAGGAATTAGAGGAGGGGGAGGTGAGTCGGGAGGAGAGGGGGGTGAGTGGAGGGGAGAGGGGGATGCGTGGGGAGGAGAGGCGAGTGAGTGGAGAGGGGAGGGGGATGGATAGAGAGGAGAGGAGGATGGGTGGGGCGGAGAGGGGGATAATTGAGGATGACTGTCGTTTTTTGGCTCCAGCGACAGGAGAGAGTAGGGGGGAGGGGAGGAGGGAGAGGGATGGTGAAGTGAGCGAGGAGGAAGGGGAGATAGGCGGGGAGGAGGGGCGAGAGGGAGAGGAAGGAGAGGAGGAGAGGAGAGAGGAGCTGGAGGGAGTGGCTGGAGAAAAGAGAGGCGGAGAAGAGGAGGGGAGGGGCATTAAAGTGGAAAGGAGAGATATGGCGAGAGGGGAGAGGCTCGGGGTGTGGGGGAGAGATGGAAAGATGGAGTTGAGGACTGAAGCTAAGGAAACAAGGGGCGGGGGAGAACGAGTAGCTTCAGTCCCTTGTTCGGTATCTTCACGCGAGCAAGGGCCCACATTAAGACAGGTTCGCGTGAAGATTGAAGGGGGTTGTGACGAAGGTGCAGCAGAAAAGCAGCATCAAAACCACAACCACCACCACCAGCAGCCGCAGCAGCAGCAAAACTATCAACACCACCAGCAGCAGCACCAGCGCCGGACGCAGCAGCTAAGCTACCAGCAACCTCAGAAGCACCAGCAACAGCAGCAGCAGAAGCAGCCGCCAGCTTTGGGACAGACAGGGGGACTGTCTGTCCCCCTGTGTGCTGTCAGCCGTCAGCTGCCAAGTTCTGCAAGAAGTGAAGGGGAGGGGAAGAGGGGCAGGGGGGAGGTGGTAGTGAAGAAGGAGGAGGAGAGGGATGTGGAGGGGGGGAGGATAGAAAGGGGAAGAAGGGGAGCGGAGGAGAGGAAGAGGGGCGGGGAGGAGGTGGTAGTGAAGAAGGAGGGGGAGGAAATGGCCGAGGGGAAGCGAAGGAGACTTGGGTTTGTGTCAGGGGTAGAGAAGAGTACAGAAGGGGAGGAGGAAGAGGAGGAGGAGGAAGAGGAGGAGGAGGAGGAGGAGGAGGAGGAGGAGGAGGAGGAGGAGGAGGAGGAGGAGGAGGAGGAGGAAGAGGAGGAGGAGGTGGTGGCGGAGGAGGTTTTTTATGAGGAAGGGGGAAGCGAGGAGGAGGGAAGCGAGGATATGGATCAGGAAGGGCAAGAGGAAGGGATAGGAAGGCACGGGGGAGAGACGAGGGGGGCGAATCGAAGGCGGGCTGGTCAGCTGGTAGTGTGTGTGAAGGAGGAGGAGCAGCAGGCGGAGGAGGAGGAGGAGGAGAAGGAGGGAGGAGGGAGAGACCAACAAATGGCGTCTTTTGAGTCGGCTCAAAAGTCACCTCTGTTGTCCTTCGAGTCAGCGGAACGGGCACCTGGGACGAGGGAGAGAGAGATGGCAATGGTATTGCATGCTTTTAGTGATGGAGGCTCGGAATGTAGGGAAGGCATGGGACAAGAAAAGGATATGGAAGGCTTGGGGGAGTGGGAGTTGAGGGGAGTGGGAAGTGAAGATGAGTATGAGGAGGGTCGGGAAGTGCTACCTGCGGTCGGGCAGGAGATGGCATGGTTGGAGGTGATATTAGGGGGCATCGGAGGAGAAGCAGGCGGGGCGGAAGCAGCGGTATCAGAAGCAGCAGTTTCAAAAGAAGCAGTATCAGAAGCAGCAGTTTCAAAAGAAGCAGTATCAGAAGCAGCAGCAGAAGCAACGGCAGTGGCGTGCAGACCCGCACAACCAAGCTTGGACCGATCCTCCAAGCTGGTGCCGCCAGCTGCGAAGCGGCCTCCCAGGGGCATGACTATCCGGCGGAAAGCAGCACCATCGAGCTCAGCTCGGAATCGGCTTCCAAAAGGGGCCCGGATGACCGGCGCTGCTGCAGCTGCTCTGTTGAAGGACGAGCTCTTGAAGGACTTCAACTTCGAGATGAGCTCTTCAGGAGGGCCAAGCTCAAGTGCATTTCAAAGCCAGTCTGACACGTCAGGAGGGGCACTTGATGCTCGAAGCCCTCCTGAAGCCGGTCTGGAGGCACTTGAGAGCCGGTCTATGATCTATAGAGAGCTTGGCCCTCCCGAAAACGCTCCACCAGCCCCCCCCCCACCGTCCAACTCAACCCTGAACTCGTCAGGGTACTTCGGAGTGGTTCGGTGCGGTACCAAGTGGTCCGTGAACCTCTTCCTTAGCCTAGCCCAGCGCACCAAGTACAACATCAGTGGTTCGGCCCTCAACTGCGGCTCCTGGCCGGAAGGGGAGCTTCTAGAAGCAGCAGCAGCGGCAGAGGCGGCTTATTTGGTGCTGAAGGGTGAGAGGGGGCTGGAGTTTAGGCTTTTGAGGGAGGAGGAGAAAGAGAGGCTCAGGGGGATGGGGTGGGAGGTGGCTGTGAGGATGATCAGGGGGAGGGTGTGGCGGCGGTGGCGGGAGTGGGGGAGGAAGGGGGAGGGGGGTGTGAGAGGGGGAGAGGGAGCTGTTGGGAGGGAAGGGAGGGTAGGGAGGAAGGGAGAGGAGAGGAGTGAGGGGAGGGAGGGGAGGGAGCAGGGGTTGGAGTCGAATGGGCAGACGTCGCTGGGTGTGCGAGAGCAAAGGCAACAAGAGCACACGCCATTCTTGAATGGGCCGAGCAGTCAGCCTCCACAGCAAAGGCTCTCACAGAACAGACATTTGCATAACGGAGAGGAGGGGCCTTCCCCAGATGGCCCTTCAGGGGAGAGGCCTTTGCAGGGTGGGAATTCGCCGGTGCAAGGACGCACGGTGAGAGGGTCCAGAAGACAAGGGGAAGACATGGGAGGGTTGAATGTTGTGGGGGGAGAGGGGTCAAGAGGAGAGGGGTCAAGAGGAGAGGGGTCAGGAGGAGAGGTGTCAAGAGGAGAGGTGTCAAGAGGAGAGGTGCCAAGAGGAGAGGTTTATCACGATAAGACCCCTGTGGTTACAAAGAAGAAGCAGGCCCATGCGTCTGGTTACCTTGGCGTTACAAGGAACTACAGTGCGTGGGCGGTGCGTGTGCCCTTAAACTCATTCAAGAGCGTCTTATATGGGGTATCCAAGAAGCTGCACTGCGGGCAGTGGGACGACTTAGAAGAGGCGGGAGCAGCGGCAGAGGCGGCATACTTTGTCCTTATTGGGGAGCAGGAGATCCAAAAGAGGGGGATTAAGCTCCGGCTTTTAACTGAGAGTCAGAAGGAGACGCTTAGGCAGATGGATCCGATTGAAGCAGTGGGGATGATCAAGGGGAAGCAGTGGAAGCAGTGGATGGAGTGGGAACCTGAGGACATGCTGAGTCCTGTAGGCGGTTCGAGTGCTGTAGGTGTTGCGCAAAATAAGGGAGATAACCTGCTGCCGTTTGGTGATAGGTTTGTGGGTGATGGCAATGCGCTGCTGCAAGGGCAAAGTTGCGACCCTGCTGCTCTCCCATTGCAGCAGCAGCAGCAGACCGAGGGACAGGATCAAGAGAGGCAGCAGCAAGTGCAGCATAAGCGTCAACTCCAGCTGACGCTTCCTGACAATCACCACCAGCAGCAGCAGCAGGGACAGCAGGGGAGTGGGACACCTTACGCGACGCAGCAGCAGCAGCAAGTGCAGGGAGAGCACGAGCCGCTCTCCCCGCCGCGGCCTGGTCGGCCCAGGGACTTCAATCGCGACATGGAGAAGCTTCTTACCGGCCATTACACGATTAACAAGGTCAACAAGGTCAACAAGGTCAGCAATGCTGGAGAAGCCAGAGGGAATTCCACAAGCAGAAATGCCATCAGCAGCAATGGCAGGGGTAGTGATGGCATGGGTGACGCTGCCGGTAACGGTGCCAGTAATGGTGGCTGCAAGTGGCAGGTTGTGCTGAATTTCAGCGCGCATAAGAGCATGCGCTTCGGAGTCCCGGAGCAATTCCACTGTGGAGAGTGGGACAGCTTTCACGAGGCGGCGGCAGCAGCAGAGGCGGCATGCATGGCGATTAAAGGCGAGTGTAAGATTGCGTTACAAGTGCTGAGTGAAGGGGAGAGGGAGGGGTTGAGGGGGTTGAGTAGGGTGCGTGCCGTGTGGATGATTAGGGAGGGAGAGTGGGGGAGGTGGAGGGAGTGGAGGCAGGTGCTAGGTGAATTATTACTGGGAGGGAGGAAGGGGAGGACGAGGGAGCGGGAATGGGGGTGGGAAGGGGAGCGGGATCTAGGAGAGGCGATGGGGTGGGAAGAAGAGGCATGTAGAAAGTAGGGATGATATGATATTGTGAGTGCATATCATAGAAGTTTATAATATTCCTTCTATGTTTTTTGCATGTGCATAAGAAGTTGTTTACAGTAAAGTGATTAGCCAAAAGCCACAACTGTACATCATCCTTCGGCCAGCGCACCTGTCCAATCACACCCTTCTCGAAAGTCAAACCCAACCACACGCACCAATGCGAAGATCTCTGCCGTCCATTTAGCATTTTCCATTCTCGATCTTACGGCGCTACGGAGCCGTTGGCTTCCCGCGAAATGCAGCTCAACTCCAGCAAAATCTGTTCGCTCCGCAACTTGGCAATCCCAAGGTGTCCCCCTTCAGTGGATCCTAGAAACCTATTTGAATCCATCAACAGCTCTAGCTAGCTTCTGCTGTGATCTCTTTCAGTGGGCCGGAGCAGCAGCATGCACGAAATATATACATTTCGGTAGTTACCTTTGCAGCTGTGAGATTTCGCCATGGGGAGGGTTCTTGCGGGCGTTTCGGGAAAAAACGGCGAAACCTTTCGGGTCGCGTCAGGTTAAGAGTAACCTATCTTACCTAGTGTTGCCAGTACGGCTCACTCAGTAAAGTTAGAACCACAAGTGCCGGCTCGTTCGAATTAGATTCCAGGAAGCCGATGCCCGGTTACCGTGTTACCCTACCTGGGGCTCTGACGACATGCGCTGGCCAGAGTCAAGAAATTGCGGCGTTTCAGAGCTACGGCAGTTGATTTGCCAAGCCCTCCACTAACGCTCAGCGTTTCGGCTGCTGATTGGCCGATCTCCACACGGCAGCACGTGATTGACCTGTTTCTCTCCGCCAATGGACGCGAGCCATTTGAAATGGCTGCAGGGCATGGCTCTTGTGGTGGCCGTGGCTTTAATATGGATCGCTGCGAGCTACATAGTGCAGGTACGAGGGACGTTCTATAGTCATTGCTTAACTGAATATCACCGTAATGAAAGGTAATGGCTGCAAGGCATGGCACTTGTGGTGGCTGTGGTATGGCTGTGGTATGGCTGTGGTATGGATCGCATATTTTCCGTGGTGTTGCTGAAACCTTACAGGGAAAATCTGCCAACATGGTACAAGTAGGTGTGTGTGATCATCTGTGCCTTATTGCGTGGCACTGACCGTGGCTCTAATCTGGATCCATGCAGGCTGCATAGTGCAGGTAAGGAAGAGAAACCTTACAGGGATATTCTGCCAACACTGTACAAGTAGATGTGATCATCTGTGCTGTGTTGCATGGCTCTGGTGGTGGCTTTAGTATGGGTCTCCGGGAGGCACATAGTGCAGGCAGGTAGGAGAATGACATAAGTTGACTTTTGAGTCGACTCAAAAGTCACCTTAATAACTAATATGGATCTCCGGGAGGCACATAGTGCAGGTAGGGAGGAGAATGACATAAGTTATATGCTACAACCACGAGATTTTTAAGTTTACTAAAAAATCACATACGTTATATGCTATAACCGCGTTGAGCGGGGAGAAAAGGATAACCTTTCTGCATGCTATTCTCGTGCGAACCTTTATCTGTTCTATTTCAGCCCGTTAATGCCAATGGGTCCTTTCCATTACCCTTATCTCTCTTTTGGCTTTTCTATTTTGTTTCCTTCTGTCCCTTCCAGGCTGTGGAAGAAGATGGTTTGTCCCCCTTTATAGTCACGTACATTTGCAACTCGTTATTCGTGCTCTACATCCCCGTTGTAGAGCTCTGGTGGTGCCTGTTCGGAAAGGCCGAGCCTGGAGGTCTCTCCACCAATAGCGGAAAAACCGGCGCCAGAAGGGGCGAATCAGGAGGTTCCAGTAACGGAGAATCTAGTAGCGGTGGTAACAACAGTGATGGCGGTAGCACTTCTGTAACTGGTAACATGGTAACGGGTGGTGGCAGCAGTAGGAGGAGAAAGAAGAGGGAGGGGGGAGGAGATGAGGAGACGAGGGGATTGCTGGCAGCAGGGGAAGAGGTGGAAGAGGGGGGAGAAGGGGAGGGAGTGAGCGGACTGGAGGGCATTGAGGAGGAGGGGGGAGATGGGGGGGTGGTGGGGGAGGTGATGGGGGGGGATGGTACGAAAGACCGGAGTCCGGGGAAGGGCGAGGAGAGGAAGCAGCAGGAAGGGCCTGCGCAAGAGGAAAGGAAGGCAGAATCAGGTGGTGTTGGAAAGGGGGAGATGCAAATCGGGGAGAGAGAACGAGGGGAGAAGCGGGCAGGTGAGGAAGGAGGGGATAGAGAAGTGAGGGCAGAGGGTGCCTCAGAGTCAACGGGAGCAGCAGTTGGGAGTGGGGATGCGTCCGAGCAGGTTGAAAGAGCACCTGAGGAGGCGGTGCGCGGTCCAGGGCTGACAGCGGGAGTGGGTAAGGGAGATGGAGGGGAGGCGGGAGGGGAACCAGGAGAAGGGATGGGAGGAGGAGCAATGGGGCCAGCGACGGAGCTGACAATACAGGGGATGTTGGCTGGGCGGGGGATAGAACAAGTAGATAGGATAGAGGCCGCACAGGGGGGGAGGGAAGGAGAAGAGGCGGAAGTAGGATTCGGGGTGGAGGGGGGAAGCGTTTGTCAGGAGCAGCAGCAGAGCACTGGTGAGCCTCATGCGCATGTGAGAGTGGATGATTCGCCTGCAAGTGTGACTATAAAGGGGGGAGGAGACCGACCACCAGAGGAGCTTTCACTGCATAGTGGCGATACAGCACATGCTGACGTGGACAGGGGGGCTGATGAGCTGGCGGCGCCTCCCTTGCTGCACATTGCATTGCAACAATCTCTCAGCAAGGAATCCACCCAATCCAATCAGTCCACGCCAGCAGATATTCTTTCCTCCCCATCGTTCCGCCACTGGGCACACCGATCCTTTGGCGCAGCCTCGTTCAAGCTCTGGCTCGGCAGCCCAGGCTGGGGACCAAGTTCCGCTCCAAGCCCTTCCGAGCCTAGACCTGCCGAGCCTAGATTCTCCGAGCCTAGGCATGATAGAGGCAAACGCTCTGGCAGTATCAAGGCAACACACAGCACGCAGCAGCACCCGGGCTTTAAGCCTTCACAAAGCCTGGCTAAGAGTGTTCCGGAATCGCGATGGACGAGGGGGCGTGTGGCGGGAGTGAGTCTGGCGATCTGCCCCGTGTGGTTCCTCGCCCAGTTCACCTTCAACCTCTCCCTCACCTACACCAGCGTCACTGTGAGCTAGGGTTTGAGGGGCTAGGAGGTTAGGATTTCAGTGGTTTACGGGTTAGGGTTCAAGTAGGGTTAAGGTTAGGGGCAGAGGGACGAGAGAGCGTGTGGGGTAAGAGATTCTGGCGATCTGCCCCGTGTGGTTCCTCGCCCAGTTCACCTTCAACCTCTCCCTCACCTACACCAGCGTCACTGTGAGTATTACAGCTTTGGGGTTCAGGGGTTAGGGTTTAATGCGTAGGGGTTAGGGGTTAGGGGCGGAGGGATTAGAGGGCGTGTGGCGGGTGTGAGTATGCCCATCTGCCCCTTGTGGTTCCTCTCCCAGTTCACCTTCAACCTCTCCCTCACCTGCATCAGTGTCACTGTGAACTAGGGTTTGAGGGGCTAGGGGGTTATGATTTAAGGGGTTTACCGGTAAGGGTTCAAGTAGGGTTAAGGTCAGGGGCAGAGGGACGAGAGGGCGTGTGGGGGAAGAGAGTCTGGCGATCTGACTTTTGAGTCGACTCAAAGGGCAGAGGGACGAGAGGCCGTGTGGGGGGAGTGAGTCTGGCGATCTGCCCCGTGTGGTTCCTCACTCAGTTCACATTCAACCTCTCCCTCACCTACACCAGCGTCACTGTGAGCTAGGGGTTAAGGGCTCTTCTGCACGAGCACTTCTGCCTCTCCTCCCAGTAGTTTTCTCCCCTCTCCCCAACAGTCCAACACCATACTGAGTTGCACCTCCAGCCTCTTCACCTTCAATCTCTCCGACTATCTCCTGCACGAGCACTTCTGCCTGCGCATCTGTTGAATCGTTCTCCATTCCGCCCTTGTTTTCCCTTCCCGCCTCCCCCAACAGTCCAACACCGTACTGAGTTGCACCTCCAGCCTCTTCACCTTTGCTCTCTCCGTCTATCTCCTGCACGAGCACTTCTGCCTGCGAAAGCTGCTCTCCGTGCTGCTCTGCGTGGCGGGCACTGTCGTAGTCGCCCTAGCCGACCAAGCCCAGGCCAGCAACACGCTAAACGCCGCACTTAGCGGCCTAAGCGCCAGCGGCAGTATTAACAACAGCAGCAGTGGTGTGGGGTTGAGTGGCAGCGGGAACAGCACTGGGTTAGGTGCCGCTGCTTTGGACGCTGCAGCCGTCGCAGAGGCTGCGGCAACTGTGGCGAGTAACGCACGGGAGAGCCTGTTTGGTGACGTGCTGTGCCTGATGTCAGCAGGGTTCTACGCCCTCTACACCACTATGCTACGGTCCTTCACCCCTGCTGAAGGGGGGTTTGAGGAGATGGGGGATGATGAGGAAGGGGGGGAGGGAGAGGAGGGGAGAGGGAGTGGGGGAGAGGAGGAGGAAGCGAGGGGGGAAGAGGGAGGAGGAGAGGGGAGAGTGGGGGAGGAGAGGCGAGGGGAGGAAAGACGAGCGTTTGCTATAAAGACAGCAGGGAAAGGGAAAGCAGAGGAGCAGGAGGAGAAGGAGAAAGAGGAGGAGGAGAGAGGGGAAGGGGAGGAGGAGGAAGTGCCGTACAGCACGGCGCTGATGTTTGGGTACCTGGGGCTCTTCAATCTCTTCCTGCTGGCGCCCATAGGGCTGCTGGTGCAATGGATGCGAGGCGAGTGGTTCGCCTGGCCGGATGCCTCCCAATGGGGGCTCGTCATTGGCAAAGGTACGCACCCTTCGAACCAAGGTCTAGGAAGTTGAAGAGGAGAGAAGGGGAGGAGGAAGAGGTGCTGTATAGCACGGCACTGATGTTTGGGTACCTGGGGCTCTTCAACCTCTTCCTGCTCGCGCCCATAGGGCCGCTGGCACACTGGATGCGGGGGGAGTGGTTTGCGTGGCCTGATGCATCTCAATGGGGGCTGGTCATCGGCAGAGGTACGCAATGCACCCCTACCACTAGAAAAGTCGTTTCTAACCAGAACTGTGTTGGTTCGTGTGGCATCTCAACCATAGGGCTGCTGGTGCAGTGGGTGCGGAGGGAGTGGTTTGCGTGGCCGGATGCTTCCCAGTGGGGGCTAGTAATCTGGAAAGGTACGCAATGGACCCCCCCACCAGATAAGAAAGTCGTTTCTAGCCAGGGCAAACGTTGGTTCGTGGGGCTCTTCAACCTCTTCCTGCTGGCGCCCATAGGGCTGCTGGCGCAGTGGGCGCGTGGGGGGTGGTTCCCCTGGCCCGACGCATTCCAGTGAGAGCTAATCAGGCTTTAAGGGTCTAGGTCAAGCAGTTACTACCACTAGCAAAGGTATGGTGGACCAGACCAGGGCAAAGGTGGAATTGTGGGTTTCTTCCTGCTAGCACTTCTGGGGCTGCTGGTGCTGTAGTGCTTGTGGGGAAAGTGGGGAGTTGTTTGTGCAGCCGGGTACAGATCCAGATCCCCTTCTCCCTCCCCATTCCTCTCTTCCTGGCCCCTCTTCTCCCTCCCCTCCCTCCCCTCCTTCCCCTCCCCGCCCCTCCTCACCACTCCCTAGGTCTACTAAACAACGGCCTGGGAGACTATCTCTGGGCCCGAGCCATTCTCCTAATTCCCCACCGCCGCTACAGCTGGGCTACAGATCCGAATCCCCATAGCCCTCACTCGGATCCCTTCTTCCACGTCTATTCGTTGATGCCTTGAGTGACTATCCATGGACCTTGATTTTGCAGAGTGTTTTTGAGAATTCTCAAAAACACTCCGAATCCCCATAGACCTCACTCGGATCCCTTCTTCCTGGTCTATTCGTCGATGCCTTGAGTGACTAACTATCTGTGGGCCTTCGCCTTTCTCCCAAACTTTACCCACCGCCGCGCCCCATGTTCCCCTCCCCATGCTCCCTCCCCCTTTTCTCTACCCCACGTCTGCTGGGTGACATGTTGAGTGGTTATCTCTGGGCCCGGGCCATTCTCTTAACCACCCCCGCTGCTGCTACAGCCGGGCTACAGATCCAGATCCCCATAGTCTTTCCGTTTCCCCCCCCCCTCCCCCGCCCCTCCCAGGTCTGCTAGACAACGTTCTGAGTGACTATCTCTGGGCCCGGGCCGTCCTGTTAACCACCCCCACTGCCGCTACAGCCGGGCTACAGATCCAGATCCCCATAGCCCTTACTGTAGACAGCTGGAAGGCTCACAGCCTGCCTAACACTGTTCATGTGATCGGGGCGGCGTTGGTCGTCCTGGGGTTCCTGGGGATCAATTCTTTCGTGACGTTTGATTGGCTGGGGGATGTGGGCACTGCTGAGAGGTGGCTTTTAGCTAAGTGTAAAGTGGTGGGAGCAGTTGTAGCAGGCTTTGTAGGAGCAGTGGGTGAGATAATAAAGGAGATGGTTGATGGGGCTGGTGGGATGCGGAGGGGTGGGGAAAGGGAGGGGCTTCTTGTGTGTGAGGATAGGGGGGGAGTGGTTGGGGTGGACTCTGCTTTAGTGGAAACGGAAGCTTCTGAGAAAGCTTCAACAGCTGTGGGACTGAAAGTGGTGTGAAGAGTTGTTTCAACCAAGCCTGCTGCATGTACAGTACTTTCCAAATACCAACAATAGAAAGATTCGAAAGGATAAATGAGACAAAGTAGGTGAGATGAGCACGACCAGCTCAACCCAAATGGCTGGCATGAGCCAGCTCATAACGAGTTACTGTGGAATTCGCTTGGATTGGAAAACGTACCACCAATTTCAGAAATAGTAATGACCACTGAACACTACAGTACCTTCCATGTCACATCCCATGTATTTACAATCGAACCGAGTTCAGGATGAAACAAGCATATCCCCTCGCCGCAACAAAAGCTTACTGACCTTGCTTGCAACTAAGCACCTGCACTGCAACACATCACAGCACATGGCACTTGCTTCTCCTCGTACCCCATACAATCAGAATCGTCCGCACAGGGCCCTGCCTCTCAGTAGGGAGGCACGTGAAGGCAGCTGAGACAACAACTACTGCGGTAGTTCCGGCTCCAAAGAGGTGCATCAATTACTCTGGGTATCTCCTGAGGCGATTCGCTCTAGTAAGTTAGTAACCATACGTCTGCCCTGCCCTCCCCCTCTGCTCCCCCCATGCGATCCCCAGGAGGAAGAGGATGGATGGCGCGAGGACTGTTTTGAGGCGCCTCAAAACTAGGGGCCTCAAAACTAGGATGGATGGCACAAGGAGGACTGGGGGAGCGTGGAGGAAGGGAGAGTGAGAAGGGCGGAAGGGGCAGCAGTTACTCTGGTAAATTGCTCTAGTATCCATGGGTCTGCCCTCCCCCTGTGGCCCCCCCAGAGGGTCTAGAGCCCCAGGAGGAAGAGGAGGGATGGCGCGAGGAGGATCGGGGGAGCGTGGTGGAAGGGAGAGCGAGACGAGCCGACCCACAGGGGGCGGCTACTCTGGATTCTTGCTCTAGTACCCGTGGGCCTGCCCTCCCCCTCTGCCCCCCCCACAAGACCCAGAGCCTTCGGAGGAAGAGGAGGGATGGCGCGAGGAGGGTTGAGGGAGAGTGGTGGAACAGAGAGCGAGGCGAGTGGAAGGGGTGGCAACTACTCTGGAGACTTGCTCTAGTATCAGTGGGTCTGCCCTCCCCCTCTGGCCCCCCCAGAGGGTCTGGAGCCCCGGGAGGAAGAATAGGGATGGCGAGAGGAGGGTTGACGGAGCGTGGTGGATGGGAGGGCGAGGTGGGCAGAAGGGGCGCCAACTACTCGGGAAACTTGCTCTAGTACCCGTAGGTCTGCCCTCCCCCTCTGGCCCCCCCAGAGGGTCTAGAGCCCCGGGAGGTCGAGGAGGGTTGAGGGAGCGTGGTGGATGGGAGGGCGAGACGGGCGGAGGGGGCAGCGGGAGTGGAGGCTGAGGGCGGGAGGGCGTGGCGTGCATGGTGCTGCCACGTGCTGTCGAATGTGGCTGCTTCCTCTGGTGGTAGGGGGGAGGGGGGGGGGGGGGGGGGGGGGGTGTAGACGCAGAGGGCAAATGGGGGAGATTTAAGTCGGTGATGATTGGAAATCAGAGGGAGGGCGTGGCGTGCATGGTGCTGCATCCTCTGGCGAACCATGAGAAAGGTGTGGGCGGCACATGTGGGCGGCACATGTGGGCGGCACATGTGGGCGGCACATGTGGGCGGCACATGTGGGCGGCACATGTGGGCGGCACATGTGGGCGGCACATGTGGGCGGCACATGTGGGCGGCACATGTGGGCGGCACATGTGGGCAGCACATGTGGGCAGCACATGTGGGCGGCACATGTGGGCAGAAGATGTGGGCATATACGTGCATGTGTGCAAGCACAAGTTTGCACGGATATAATCGTTCACCCGTACCTTGAGACGTGTTGTGCAGCGTTTCATATGACCTCTGCTGCTCAAACGAAAGAGCATGCATGCAAGCCCGTATGCGTGCATGCACAGACGTCTATCCGTACCTTGCGACATGTTGTGAAGCACCTCATACGACCGCTGCTGCTCGCCCTCCCTAGTGCAGCTCAGTGTGCGGGCCTGCGGCCACAGAAGAAGAAAAGGGCGAAGGGGGGGGCGACGGAGGGGGGGGGGGGGGGTTGTCATGAGGTGATGGTAGGGCATGTGAGAAATGGCAGGGAACAATCATGGCATCATGATATGCTTAAAAACAAAAATGGGGAAAAAAAAAAAAAAAAAAAAAAAAAACCTGAAGGGACCAAACGCGAGACCCAGCACCTTGACCACCAGCCGTTTTAAGACTGCCATACCCTTGTGAGCGCTACGAGTAACCACACCCTTATCGTTCCACTCTTACCGTATCCCCCACCCCCCAGCCCCCATGCCACTGTCCTGCTCTGGCCCCCCTGAAATCCCAACCCTCATTGTCCCTCAACCTTCACCTCACCACCAACCTTCACCTCACCACCAACCTTCACCTCACCACCAACCTTCACCTCACCACCAACCTTCACCTCACCACCAACCTTCACCTCACCACCAACCTTCACCTCACCACCAACCTTCACCTCACCACCAACCTTCACCTCACCACCAACCTTCACCTCACCACCAACCTTCACCTCACCACCAACCTTCACCTCACCACCAACCTTCACCTCACCGCCAACCTTCACCTCACCACCAACCTTCACCTCACCCCCCACCTCATTCCCCACCCCTCACCTTATCTCCCAGCCCCCGTGCCACTGTCATACTCTGGTGCCCCCTGGAATCACGCCGCGAGTGCTGTGCCTCCACCACCTGCCACGTGGAGGAGGGGAGCGGGGGGAGGAACGGAGGGGGGACGAGGCAGTTGAAGAAGGGCGTAGGCAGAAGTGCTGTGCCTCCACCACCTGTCACACGGAGGAGAGAAGAGAGGGAGAGGGGAGGGGGAGTTGAAAAACGCCGTAAGTGCGAGTGCCGTGCCTCCACCACCTGTCACACGGAGGAGAGAAGAGAGCAGGGCAGAGGAGGGAGGACGGTATAGACGAAGGGAAGCGGCAGTGGCAGTCAACGGAGACGAGTGCAGAGACAGGGACAATGGGCTGTGGGGAATGGGCTGTGGGGAATGGGAGGCAACGAAGCCACTCAACAACCACCCAACAACCACGTGCTCCGTTATAAGCCCCACCCACTCACCCCGTTAGCAGCAACTTGGTGCGACGATGACTCAGAGTAGTACGTCTGCCCGCCAATCCCCGAGTAAGTCACCGAGGAGCTCTGAAAGGAATACGAGGAGGAGCCTCCCCCCATGCCAGCACCAAAGGCACCACCAGCCAGACCGCCAAACCCGCCACCGAAGAGACCAAGGGCGTTGAAGGGCGACGATGAGGCAACCAGGGTTTGGTGGGTGGAGTTGGGCGCGGCTGCTTGGGGAGGGAGAGGTGGCGAAAGAGAAGGGGGGAGAGAGAGAAGGGGAGGTTAGGGTGGGGGGGGGAGAGAGAGAAGGGGAGGTTAGGGTGGGGGGGGGAGAGAGTCATTGAATGAATCAAGCTGCTCGAAATGCACTGAGGGTGGAGTTGAGCGCGGCAGCTCGGGGAGGGAGAGGTGGCGGGAGGGAAGGGGAGAGAGAGAGAGAGAAAAGAGGGTGGGGGGGGGGGGGGTTGGGGGGTTGGGTGGGTGGGGGGGGGGGTGTCTGTCTCAACCCTGGACTGAGAAGATACATAGAGAGTGAAGCTCAAGCCCATTGAAGTTGGAAAGGGGGGTGTGCTGCAGCTGTGGGAAGTACGAGTGGAAAAGAGCAGGAAATAAAAACATTGGCGACGGGTTGCACGAGTAACACGGTAACAGGTTACCTTGCTGTGGGCCACGATCCTCCTGCCTCATAGATCCCCTCTGAGGCGGCTGCTGCTGCTGCTGCTGATAACCAGAGCGCCTCTGCTGGGGGTACTGCTGCTGCTGCTCGTGCACTCTCTCCCCCTCCTCCTCCTCTTCTTCGCCTTCTCGCCTCCTCTTCCCGTCCTGCTCCTCCTCCTCGTCATCGTCAGGCAGCTCTACTATAGGCTCGTCCGCGTTATAAGATCTGCTCCTTCGCCCTGCACGCTCGCCACCTCCCGTTCCTCGAGAACCGGGCCCTGTAGCGCCTGCTCGTCTCGCGCTGGGCTGGTACCCGGGTAACCCGGTTTCGTCATCGCGAACCTCTTGAATGGACGGTGCAGATACACGCTGCTGCTGTTGCTGCTGCTGCTGCTGGCGCTGACGCTGCTGCTGCTGCTGGTACTGTAGCTGTTCCTGCTGCTGCTGCTGCTGCTGCTGAAGGTGCCTGCTGTGCTGCTCCTGATGCTGACGCCGGTGATTCTGCAGGTGCTGTTGATGCTGCACAGAGCATTGAAAGGAGGAAACAAGGCGAAATGGACGATTAAAAAAAAAAAGGATGTCAGAAGTTGCTCGATTACGAACAAGACAAGTCAATAAAAAAAAAAAAAAAAAAAAAAAAAAAAAAAAAAAAAAAAAAAAAAACAAGACAAAAGTCGGCTTTCGGGTACCAGCAAGCGATCCGCCTCTCACCGGGAGATCAAATCCGAACGGCGATGCGGCCGGCAGCATCGGCGGCTGCGGGAAGAGCAACCCGAACGCTGACGTTTGAGTCGACTTAAAAGTCCTCTCTCACCTGGAGACAACATCTATCTTTCAGGCGCCTCAGAAATACTTTCCTCTCTGTCTCTCTCACCGGGAGATCGAATCCGAACGGCTCGCCGAACCCCCCGCCGGGAAATCCGCGTCCGGCTGTCCCGGCTTGCCGACCGAACATGGAGCCGAACGGATCCGCGAAAAACGGGTCTGCGAATATCGGATCGTTGAAAAGGCTTGCACCGAATCCGAAGCCCATCCCGGCGAAAGGGTCCTGATTAGGGTTAGGGAAGCCACCTTGACCCACGCCTCTACTCATCTTGGACAAATACGGGCTGGAATTTTACTTCTTTTTACGCGACAATCGACGGTCGTAACTACGAATCACGAACGGTGCTACCCGCAAGACTTCTAAGGGCTGCCTGATTATGCGGCGATAACCGCGGCAACAGAAGCGTCGAGGAGGACAAGGTTACAAGAACCATCACCAACTGGCGTGGTAGAACAAGACGCGCGACCTATCAACAAAGCACTCGACCCAAGGCAAGTGTCCCAAGCCAAGCCAAGTCAAAGAAAGATGAGATCGGTGAAAAATCTAGACCGTTTGTTTCCCAACACTTAGGGGCGTGTCGGAAGCGCGTGTCAGATTGCGGTTGCGTGAGATGCCTTTTGATCCAGAAGGGTCAAACATCATATCAAAACGGTTGGGTAGGGTTTTGGAGCAAAAATGCTCGCTTGGGGTGCACGAAAATCTCGAGGTGCATGGGACAGCTCGCGATATTGCTGACGTGGGGGTTCTAGAGAGCCAACATCACAGCTCGTGCTCGCGTTTCTGGAAACATTTAGAAATTTGCGTTAGTAGCCTGTTCACTTTATGATAGACATAAAATTTGTCCAGTCCAACCTTAGGAGTTTCTCAATTTCACATGGTTCAATAACCTGTGCCTGTCCCTCCCATAAGAAGCTTGCCATCTCCCACAGGCCTGACCTGCGGCCCACATGCCTTCAAGTTCCCTTGTCCCCCTTTTAAGAACCTCCTGTATGAGAACAGGGAGGGAACCACTCCACACTTCACCATCTCAAGCACATCACTGCCTAGATTGCCAGCCTCATTCTCTTCTCCATCATCCAGCTTCACCCCACTGAAGCCGCCTATCCCACTGATGCTGCTGACGCCACCAGTGGTCCCATCAGCATGCCCCATCACCAAATCCGCTGCCATCTTGCCAACCAGCGGGCCAAATTTGAACCCATGCCCCGAAAAGCCTGCTGCCACAACAATATTTACTCCTCTCCCCACAACCTCTCCTGGACTTTCTTCTCCTGCCCCATCTCCTTGTTCTCCATCCCCTAGAACTAGTTTGGCATCCCTTTCCTGGCTCTCCTCTGCCACCTGTTCTCCCTTTCCTGAAGCTAAAGGGATCCGATCGATGATGAAATCTTGGTCCGGAGTCATGGTATAGAGGCACGATTCCATCATCACAGGCTCGGTGGTTACCCTGTTTCCGAATCTGGCCTGCAGCCACGGCACCAGCACAGTCCGAGCCGCGTGCGCGTCCGGGAGGGAGGGTCGGTTGTCAGGGTCGGGGCAGGGCAGGCCGGAATGGAGGGAGACCTTGATTAGGTCCGGGAACTCTAGGCTCGGTATGCCGTACACGTAAGGTTCGTCGTAATTGATAAATAGGGGAATGGTGGTGCTGCTGCCCTTGCTGGTGCTGCCGCTGCTGCTGCTGCTGCAAGCACCCCCATCAGAAGCAGCAGTGGCAGCATTACCAGCAGCAGCACTGTCACCTGCAGCAGCAGCAGCAGCAGGAGCACAATCAGCATCTGCTCCTCCCTCCCCAGCAACCCTCCAGTAAGCCACAGTGGTTCGCAACGGCTCCAGAGGAAGCTTCCTCCCTGTTGCCCTTTCAAGCAGCTTCCCTGCCCATGCTCCTGCTGCCACAACACAGTCGTTACATGTAACGCTGCCCTTGCTGGTTACCACATGAATCCGAGCAGCATCACCCCCATCAACGCAATCGTCAACCCCTGTTGCTGCCTCTTTGTCCTGTAGCGGCTCGATTGCAGTAACTGCCGTTTTGTCTCGTAGTGCCGCCCCGTGCCTGGCTGCCAGCTGTTGAAACATCGCCACGGATTTTGTCGCATGCAGCACCCCCGCATCAGGACAAAAAACGCCGACCAAATCGCTGTCAGAACCATCTGGAAAGTCTAACATTGGGAATCGCTCCCTCAGAGCAGCCCCTTCCAGAAGCTGATGTGGCACACCATGGTTGCAACAGCTGGCGAGAACCGCTGCCAGGTCAGAGTTGGTGCGGGGCCCAAAGTCTAACCCGCCTGTGACTGTAAGTGGGGAGTATCCGGCCTCGTTAGAAGCAGACTCCCATAGCGCATAAGCGAGTGGCATGAGCGCAGTGTAGTGGTCTTCAGGGTAAGTTCTCCTGATAATTCGAGACTCCCCATGGGAGGAGCCTGGTCAAAAGGAGGGGAAATGGGGAGGGGAGAGGGGAGGGGGGGGTGTGTCGGTGGAATGGAAAGGAATGAGGAGAGGAGCGACAGAAAGGTGGAATGGAAAGGTGCATCTTTCGTTGCTACATGATGAACCTACATTGGTTTGGTTAGGTGCATGCATCAAGTGAGTTTCGCCTGAGAGCATAAGAAGGTGCGTTTCTTACAGCAAGTCGGGTAGCATTTGAGGCGCGTCCAAACAGCCAGACAACCTCTGCCCTCTGCTCTCCCATACCACACTCTGCTCTCCCTTAACTCACTCTGCTCCCCCTTACCTCACCTCGTCGGTGCAGCAGGTCGAACTGCTCTTATAGTTGAACGCTCATCACCGCACCTCACCTCGTCGGTGCAGCAGGTCGAACTGCTCTTATAGCTGAACGCTCCTCCTTCGTTTCGCGAGCTCGTACGCGGCGCAGCTGCCCATGACTCTCTCACATTACCGCACCTCACCTCGGCGATGCAGCAGGTCGAACTGCTCCAAGAGCAAAACGCTTCTCCCGCGTTTCGCGAGCTCGTACGCGGCGCAGCTGCCCATGATGCCCGCGCCCACCACCACCACGTCGTAATGCTCCATGCCCATGCCCATGCCTCGCAACGCAATTCTCTAACCACGAACCTGCCGCTACACCACAGGGTTCGGTAGTAGGCGCTTCAGCAATCGCTAATAAAACCGGCAATGCACTTTGGTCGCTAGGCGAAATGCGGTCGGTACTAATCAAGCACCGCGTCAATCCGGCGGTAATGGCGTAAACAAAGGCGCGTCATGAGGTATGAACAGTGCAGCAGCGGCGAAAGGGGGTGTAGCAAGCCGCGATTAGGGACTTGGAAACGGACTGGAAAAGGAAAGATGTGATTTCCATCAGAAATGTGACTGGGAGGAGAAATGTGAGAAATGTGAACAGAATGGAGCAACAGGACTGTGACTGGGAGGTAAAAACGATTCAGAGTACACACAGGTAGGTTTGTGCGGTTGAGTTAGTTACCCGTAGTTTCGAAAGGGCCCAGCACGGCCGAGTACGGTATCAACCGTGACATGAAGTCTCTTCAACGAGCAAGTTGGGAAAGAAAACGCGTTCAGCAGGATTCGAACCTGCGAGGGCGTAGCCCAACAGATTTCAAGTCTGTCCCGTTAACCACTCCGGCATGAACGCACGTCACTGAGTTGAACATGTATAACTATTGTACTTTTCTGCTGCTCCTGCTTCACATACCTTCCTTGTTGCATCCATCAGTTAGTCCTAGTGTCACCTCGCCGCCATGTTGAGTCGACGGCTCGGCGCGCTGTTCGCGCAGGTGAAAGAATCCACGGGCATCGTGGGCCTCGATGTTGTCCCCAACGCGCGCCAGGTGCTCATCGGGCTCTACAACCAAACCCTGAGCGCCGTCCAGGTGATTCCTCAGGAGGCCGTGTACAGGCAGAACGTGGAGGCGCTGACGCGGCACCGGCTCGCGGTGTGCGAGGAGGAGGAGGATCCGGAGCGGATCGAATCTCGCGTGCAGTGCGGACAGGTGGAGGAGTTGATCGAGCAGGCGCAGGACGAGTTAGAACTGATCCCTAAAATGGCCGGTAAGAGCTAGAACTGATCTTTCACGCTAGTTGCTCGGACCGTTGTCGAGATCCGGCAGAGGATTGTTTTTATTAAGTCCGTTCAGGGTCGCGGTCCGCTATTCCGTTGTCGACGTAGAAGACGGCGTTGGAAATTGTTGTTTTGCGAGTTCTGAGGCTTGCGATCTTGGAAGCAGCGGCCGATCGATGGTGTGCGTTCCTTGTCGCACGGCCGTGGCGTGCGCGTCATTGCGTCCCGTCCATGCGCCATGTCAGTGCGTGCGGCCCGATCAATGAATGGGGTCGGGTTTAGGTTACTTCCGACAGCGCGAGACGCGCCGAGCTGCTCTGGGAAGAAGCCCGAGATCCCCCGCATGACCCTGCGACTCTCAAGGAGGCCGGCGACCTTGAAGGGGGGCGTGCGACCTTGAAGGAGGCCGTGCGACAAATAGGTCAACTTAGTAGCTGGCTGGTCACTAGACGAGTGCTGGGTTTGGTCGTCTCAAACCTCCAGTGCAGCTCGGTCTGTGCTTGGCTCTGTCCTAGGGTTAGCACTATTTTCGATGGGCTTTCCTGGGGGGTAACTTTCCTAGGAGAATCAAATCTCATGGTCATGCCCTATCACCCTTACTGGTTCAAAGTGGATGTTTGTTTCGTTTCTGCTTGTTCTGATGTGTACATTTTTGTGCGTGGGGACGTTTGTATGTGTGCGGGTTGAGACGGGTGGGGGGGTGTGTGGATGCATGATTCTTGCTCTGAGGGAGTGTTTGGTTGCCCTCTGAGCAGAATGGAAGCCATGGGAGGTACCAGAAGGCCATAAGATAGAGATTGATGAAACATTTGGAGACACCCCCTCTCAGGTGCCGGACCACAGAAGCTGAGCCACCTTGCATTGCATTGCATCAGTATTGATTGTAACAACCACCACACGATTAATTCGTGATTGTAATGACGCTTTACCTTGCAAATGCACAAGTTCTTTTATCGCATGGTTCTGTCCTCCTTTACATAGGTTGCTGGTCTCCCAGAACTTCGAATGGTATGTCATAACTTATGTTTCACTAGCATTCCTGAATCGGTTTTACATGAAGTTAAGAATCTCGAATTTGTGTTACGGATAGAAATGTTGCTGAAGGATAGCAGTACCGGGTGTCACTCAAACAGGAAATATCTCCGTCGTCCCTGTCATCACCTGACAAGTGTCACTGATCAAAGTGCAGTGGTTGGACGGAAAGAAGTGTCGGCAATTCGACAATCTCTTGTCTGCGCGAATCGAGGTGGAGCAAAGTGCCTTGAAGTTGTCGAACAAATTGCGAGTGGCGTGGCGAATTGACGAACACCCCGCGACCCCGCGAGCACAAATTTCCCCACCTTGACGAACCACGAAATCACTTTTTCTGCGTGTAACAATATACGGCGAACTCCAGCGGCCCCACTTTGTTTCCCATTCTCCCAAACACCAATCCTTCTGAACAGATATTCTGATGTATTTCAGATTCTGTATTGCCTTGTTTCTGTCATGGCTTCCTGGAGTTCCTGATCTGTGAGGTGGTCGTATCAAGTATCAGAAACTCCGTTAGCAAGCGGATTTCGTAGTTATCTTGTTGCTGGCTTTCCTGGATTCCTGAAGTTCCACAGATTTGCCGGATAATTTCCAGCGCATCAGTCGTACAATCCGGCATAGTACCTGCCGTCTCATATCCTGCATCACTCAGCATATCCCCTTATATTAGCAAAGAAACTTCATCCCGCGTAAAATCCGGCGTAACATTCGCCATGAATGCTCAGGCGAGCCTCCTCAAGCCGCCTGCGAGCAGTCTCGCCGCGGCGACAACTGGCAGATCCGGATTCGTCAGGAGTTGTTTGTCAGCAAATACAGGCACTGCTTTCTTCAAGGAGCTCATTCCGGCTTTCCAGGTAGGGAATGACGATGGCGAATGCGCTAGCTGGCATATCGGGAGACGTCAAGAGTCGATTTTTTAGATACCCGGATATCGGAAGCCGTGTTTTCTTCAAGGAGCTCACTCCGGCTTTTCAAGTGGGGAAAGTGGGATGAACTTGCTGATCCTCTTGCCTTTGACGGATTTGCTTCGACCAGGAGGGCGACTCCCGATTTGACGTCAACTTCATTGGCATGATCATGGCCTGTTATGCAATGTCGTCCCTGTTGACTGAATACTGAGCGTGTTCCTCAGTCGTTGTCATCACTGTCCGTCATTGTCATTGTCAGTCACTGTCAGTCACTGTCAGTCATTGTCATTGACAGTCATTGCCATTGTCAGTCACTGTCAGTCATTGTCACTGTCAGTCATTGCCATTGTCAGTCATTGCCATTGTCAGTCATTGACATTGTCAGTCATTGCCATTGTCAGTCATTGACATTGTCAGTCATTGCCATTGTCATTGTCATTGCCGGTCACTATCATAGTCACCGCGTAAACATACTGCGTGTCTACCTCCCCAAACTGTTCCTTCCATTCCAGGGCATGCGTGGCTCGAGATCCGATTCCACCGTCCCCCCATCCTCCCAGCCTTGGACCTCCTGGCGACATACCTCCGTTACAAGAACACTCGCGTCCGCCACTCCCGCTAGCAGCACATCCGTCCCTGCGTCACAAGTGAAGGTCGGAACCGGCTCGCCTTCCCCTCTAGGCCCGTCTCTCGTGGAAAAGCGCGCCAAGCCAGAAGGCTACAGCCGGGACTCCCTGCCTGCTCGAGGAACTGTCAACTTCGCTCTTTTCTCCAAGCACGCTACAGCCGTTACTCTTTGCCTGTGAGCCACAAGTTGTTATTCTTTAGTGTCATCTCCGCTATCACCCTGTCTCAACTCTCGCAGCTTTATTCCAAAACAGATTTATCCTGGCAGCAAATAGTTCAACGTATCCCCTTGTACACTCGACCTCTCCCCTGTTCCTATCCCTCAGTTGACTTCCCACGTCCCTGTACCTCCCTCACTCACGTCAATCATGTCCCGTCATGTCTCTCAGTTTCCTGTCTGGCAAACAGGGCTCGCCTCCTGACCTCGAGATTGCCCTGGATCCCAGCAGTCAACGAACGGGCGACATCTGGCATGCTTCTGTGGAGGTGAGCAGATGGATGGAGTGAACCGCTGCCTCCTCATTTTCACCTTCACAGTTCACTTATGCTCTCACTTCCCACCTACAGCACCTTCATCTGTGTTTGACTTGAGCTATCTCGAACGAAGGTCTCACCTCAAATGGTCCATACGCCATCACTTCACTTCACCTCTAAGCTCGCATGCATGCAATGCAAGCTACCAGGATCCTGAGCCGCTGTTCCCCTACCCGTCCTGCGTCGTTTCCCCCTCACATCTCTATGCTGACAAGGTTGCTGGCCCAATGGGGTGGAGAGGGGCATCAATTCGACCCTTAGGTGTTGCTTCTTCGGCGTTGTTGCTAGACCCCTAAGCGCCTCTCGTGGATGGCAGGAGGGGTTTGGTTGGGGTTTGAGGTCTCATTAACCCTTTCCTCCCTGTCACCATCGCGCTCCCTCTCCCCAGAACGTTCCTCTCTGCGGCATGCTCTATGCCTACAAGGTGGACGGCCCTAAGGGGTGGGGAGAGGGCAACCGATTTGACCCGTCGGTGCTGCTGCTAGACCCCTACGCGCCTCTGGTGGACGGGAGGAGGCGTTTTGGGGATCCTAGCCAACGGATGGCTCGGATGTACGGCACGTTTGACTTTGAATCTGAGCCGTTCGATTGGGGGGAGGCAGAAGCAAAGAGGGAGCCGATTCCGGAGGTGAGCATGGGGCGATTTGTCTGTGGCTGTAGGCTCCTGTATCAATGCCCACAGTGCTGCTCCCTCAAGTATCCTTCTCTTCTTTCCTGGTTCTCTTATTGCTGCACAAGGAGCTGATTGTATCCGAGGTGAATGTGTGGACGTGATCCTTAAATGTCCCTCTCTCCCTCTATCACACCCCCATGCTCCTCTCACGTGCTCCTGCCTCTTGTGCTCCTGCCTGTGTTACTGCAGAAAGACGTGATTATATATGAGATGAATGTGCGCGCTTATACTGCAGATCCTTCAAGTGGGATCGATAAGGGGCGGCGAGGAAGCTTCTCTGCTGTTGCAGACAAGGTAGGAGGAAGCTTCTCTGTTGTTGCGGATAGCGGAGGGAGAAGCTTCTTCATGCCTTGATGGATAAGGTGGGAGAGCAGGTGAACATGCCTTGATGGATAAGGTGGGAGAGCAGGTGAACATGCCTTGATCCCAGGTCGAGCCTTGATGTGCACACACACATGTCATGTGCATTCGCATGTGCGTGAAAGAGTGTTTGGCCCCTCCCTCGCTTTTCCATCGGAAGTGTGCTTTTGTGTATCCCTGCTAGCTATGTATGTGCCATATGGGCTTATACGCGCCAATGTTAACCCATGGCTGCTGCAGGTGCAGCACCTGATGGAGCTGGGAGTGAACACCAGCGGAGCTGTTGCCTGCCTTTGAATACAATGAGATGGATCCATTCACCCATGCGCCCAGGCGCACCCATACGCACCCATATGCACCCATATGCACCACATGCACCCATATGCACCCATATGAGCCTATGCGCCCATATAAATCCATTTGAACCTTCCCAATCTCATCCCTGCAGGCGCAGCACCTGGTGGAGCTGGGAGTGAACGTGGTGGAGCTGCTGCCCATCTTTGAGCATGCCCCTATGCACCTGTTTGCACCCATCCGAACCCATCTCTCTGGACCAATACCTGCAGGCGCAGCACCTGGTGGAGCTGGGAGTGAACGCAGTGGAGCTGCTGCCCATCTTTGAGTACGATGAGATGGATCCATGTGAACCCATGTGAACCCATGTGAACCTCACTAAACCAATACCTGCAGGCGCAGCACCTGGTGGAGCTGGGAGTGAACGCAGTGGAGCTGCTGCCCATCTTTGAGTACGATGAGATGGAATTCCAGCGGCGACCCAACCCGCGTGACCACATGGTGAGCCGGCGTCTTTCCTTTGACTCAAGCACACCATTACGTACCGTCTAAAGGAGTGAACACAGCAGTGGAGCTGCTTCCCATCTTTGAGTACGACGAGATGGAGTTCCAGGGGTGACCCAACCCGCGCGACCACATGGTGGGTTCTCTTTTCAATGTGGGCTCTTTCTCTTCTGTGGCTCCTCGAAACATGCCCCTACTGAGGCTCTGTACAGGTTGCTGCTGCTGTTGCCTGGCTTTGCCTGCCTCTGATGATGAGATAGAATCCCAGAGGCGACCTTACCCCGGGGTTCTCCTGCTAGCTGCTGCTAGCACATGGTGTTTTGATTCCATGGCAGCAGCACATGGCAGCAGCACGGGAGGTGAAGTGTATCATACCACGTCCATTCACCCTACCCCCCTTCCCCACCCCCCACGACCAGGTTAACACGTGGGGCTACTCCACAGTCAACTTCTTCGCGCCCATGTCTCGCTATGCCTCCAACGAGGGTGGCCCCGTGGCAGCAGCTCGGGAGGTGAAGGAGATGGTGAAGCGGCTGCATGCAGCGGGGGTGGAGGTGATCCTAGACGTCGTCTATAATCACACCAACGAGGCGGATGATACCTTTCCGTACACTACTTCATTCAGAGGCATAGATAACAAGGTATGACATAACAACAGGGGTGGGACATGCGGGGTGTGTCCATGCAGCAGCAGGAAGGCAGGTGAAGGAGATGGTGAAGCCACTGCATGCAGCGGGGGTGGAGGTGATCCTAGACGTGGTTTTCAACCACACCAACGAGGCGGATGACACGTTCCCGTATACGACGTCCTTCAGAGGGATTGATAACAAGGTATGACGAACAAGCTGGGTGGGACAACAGGTATGGCAGCAGCGAGGGAGGTGAAGAAGATGGTGAAGCGCCTGCGTGCTGTGGGGGTGGAGGTGATTCTGGACGTGGTATATAATCACACCAACGAGGCGGATGATACCTTTCCGGTACTCCCACATCCTTCAGAGGGATTGATAACAAGCTGTGTGCGTGTATGGAAGCCAACCTTGTAAGCCATGCTGCTGCTTCTCCCGTGGCGTCTGCCCGTCATTTCTTCCCTCTCACTGCTCCGCCTCTCCCTTGCACCCTCCTTAGACGTACTACGTCGTTCAGCTACGCGCTGCGTGCAGTGTGCAACTGGCCATCTGCAGTAGCTATGACGCTGCCACCCCCTCATTCCTTCCCAACGTATTACATCCCGTTTTGAGGCGCCTCAAAACGTTGTTCAGCTACGCGTTGCGTGCAGTGTGCAACTGGCAAACTGCAGCAGCTATGACGCTGCCACCCCCTCATTCCTTCCCAACGTATTACATCCCCTCCCCCCACCCCACCCTCCTCCTCAGACGTACTACATTGTGCAGCCCAACAGCTACGTGCAGCTGGCCAACTATGCGGGGTGCGGCAACACGCTCAACTGCAACCACCCCGTGGTGATGCAGATGGTGCTGGACAGCCTGCGACACTGGGTGCAGGTGAGGAGGAGGGGGCGGTAAAGAGAATCAGCTGCATGAGGCAGTGCACGTTGGGCAGTAGGGAGGGAGCGCTTGGTGCTGGGCAGTGATGAGCTCAACTGCAACCTCCCGGTGGTGATGCAGATGGTGCTGGACAGCCTGCGACACTGGGTGCAGGTGAGGAGGAGGAGGCGGTAAAGAGAATCAGCTGCATGAGGCAGTGCACGTTGGGCAGTAGGGAGGGAGCGCTTGGTGCTGGGCAGTGATGAGCTCAACTGCAACCTCCCGGTGGTGATGCAGATGGTGCTGGACAGCCTGCGACACTGGGTGCAGGTGAGAGGGGGGTTGAGGGGGGAGAATAGGAGGCGCAGGTGAGGAGGGGAAGAGGGGATGCGGGAGAGGCAGTGGGCATACGCTCTGGGCGCTTAGCGTCAAGTTCTAGGCAATAATGAGCTCAACTGCAACCACCCCGTGGTGATGCAGATGGTGCTGGACAGCCTGCGGCACTGGGTCTAGGTGAGCATGGGCATAGCCGTATAGGGCACCAGGCACTTATTGTTAGGCAGCTATGCGCTGTACTGCAACCACCCCGTGGTGATGTAGATGGTGCTGGGTAGCCTTGGACACTGGTGCAGGTGGGAAAGAGTGAGAGGTGGGATTAAGTAGAGAGGGGTTAGGTGAGAAAGGGAAGGCAGAGAATAGATTTGGGGGCAGGCAGGCAGCAGGCAGATTGGTGCTTCTTGGACTGTGGGGGTAATGGCGTTTGCCTCCGCCCTTCTAATCCGATCATCTGGGTGTTCTTGAGAATTCTCAAAAACACCCGGTTAGGTGACTGTCCTTGGGCTGTGCGGGGGTCAAGGGCGTTTGCCTCCGCCACTCTAATCTGGCCATCGTGCTTCCCCTCGCTTCCTCACAGGAGTACCATGTGGATGGTTTTCGCTTTGACCTGGCCAGCGTCTTGTGCCGAGGGACGGATGGCGAGCGCTGCCTCCTGAAGCGCCGCCTCTAACTCATGCCAACCCCTGCTCCCGTCCTCTGCACCCTATCTCAGGAGCACCGTGTGGATGGTTTTCACTTTGACCTGGCCAGCGTCTTGTGCGGAGGGACGGATGGAGAGCCATTTAAAGCGCCTACTCTCCTTCATGCCTACCTCCGCTCCCCCGCTTCCTCCCTTCGCGTCCCCCCCGCGTCCCCCCCGCCTCCCCACTCCCTACCCCCTCCCTACCCCCTCCCAACCCCCTGCCTCTCCCTGCCTCCCCCTCGCCTCCCCTCCGCCCCTATCTCAGGAGTACCATGTGGATGGTTTTCGATTTGACCTGGCTAGTGTCTTGTGCCGAGGGACGGATGGGGAGCCACTCGTAGCGCCTCCACTCATTCGGGTGAGTCGTTTCAAGCACAAGGTCCTGGTGAGTGCTTTGAGTGGGTCTCCAAGAGTAAGCGATTTTGGTAAACGATCTAGGTAAGCGATTTAGGCGAGTGATCCTTCCTGTTTCTACAAACGCTTCCCTCCCTCCCACCAGGCAATCGCCAAGGACGAGGTGCAAGCTCATTGTGGAGCCATGGGACTTGGCCTTGAGTCGACTCAATGGCCCTGCCCCTCCCACCTCCTCCAACAATTGCCCTTCCCCCACTTGCCCTTCCCCCACTTGCTCTTCCCCCACCTGCCCTTCCCCCACTTGCTCTTCCCCCACTTGCCCTTCCCCCACTTGCTCTTCCCCCACTTGCCCTTCCCCCGCTTGCTCTTCCCCCACCTGCCCTTCCCCCACTTGCTCTTCCCCCACCTGCCCTTCCCCCACTTGCTCTTCCCCCACCTGCCCTTCCCCCACTTGCTCTTCCCCCACCTGCCCTTCCCCCACTTGCTCTTCCCCCACCTGCCCTTCCCCCACTTGCTCTTCCCCCACCTGCCCTTCCCCCACTTGCTCTTCCCCCACTTGCCCTTCCCCCGCTTGCTCTTCCCCCACCTGCCCTTCCCCCACTTGCTCTTCCCCCACCTGCCCTTCCCCCACTTGCTCTTCCCCCACTTGCTCTTCCCCCACCTGCCCTTCCCCCACTTGCTCTTCCCCCACCTGCCCTTCCCCCACTTGCTCTTCCCCCACCTGCCCTTCCCCCACTTGCTCTTCCCCCACTTGCTCTTCCCCCACTTGCCCTTCCCCCACTTGCCCTTCCCCCACTTGCTCTTCCCCCACTTGCCCTTCCCCCACTTGCCCTTCCCCCACCAGCCGATTGCCAAGGACGAGGTGTTACCCCAGTGCAAGCTCATTGCGGGCCATGGGACTGTTGGCTTAAATTCGCCTCACACATCCCCCTCTCCTCCTCTCACCCAACCCAACCACCCTTTTATTTCTCCCCCTCCCCTCCCTCCCACCAGGCGATTTCCAAGGACGAGGTGCTCTCCCAGTGCAAGCTCGCTGCTGAGCCCTGGGACTGTTGGCTTTCAGTCGACTCAATGGCCCTGCCCCTCTCACCTCCTCCAACGAATGCCCTTCCCCAAATTGCCCTTCCCCCACCAGGCGATTGCCAAGGACGAGGTGCTGTCCAAGTGCAAGCTCATTGCCGAGCCCTGGCACTGTGGCACCCTTTAAGTTGACTGAAGGGTTCGCCCCACCTCCTCTTTCCACCCAAACGCATCCACCTACGCACCAGGCAATTGCCAAGGACGAGGTTCTCTCCAAGTGCAAGCTCATTGCCGAGCCCTGGGACTGCGGCGGTCTCTACCAAGTGGGCAGCTTCCCCAACTGGGACAGGTACTGCCTTCCCCGGATAGGACAGCCAATACTGTGCCCAAGCAGGGCAGGAACCTGCCTACCAGACACACATCCAGAAAGGACAGGTCACATCGCGTCCCTGCTGTGTCTTGCATACCATGCAATACAGCCATGGCTGGTCTCAGAGACTCACACACCCATGCTTCTGCCATACGTCAGTCGTCCTTTCCCTCTGATGCTATGTTGTCATCGACCCCCCCCCCCACCCCTCCATGCCATGCTGTCATTGTCGCAGGTGGGCGGAGTGGAATGGCAAGTACCGAGACGACGTGCGCAAGTTCATCAAGGTGAGCTGGCAAAGTCTAGTTTTGAGGCGCCTCAAAACTAGCTGGCTAAGTCTGTTCCGATGTGTGCCATGTTTTCTGAGGCGCCTCAAATGTCAAAACTAGCTGGCGTGTAATGAGTCGATTTTTTTAGTCGACTCAAAAATGGACTCATTACACGAAGTCTGTTCAGATGCGTGCCATGCGGTGTTCTCATTTCTCGATTAGAGCTCATACGGCTTGTTGCCTTATTGCCGGGCACAGCCCATGCACTCTGATGGGTGTCACTCACGTGCTGCTCGTGTATCTTGATTGACTTTTGAGTCGACTAAAAAATCACCTTTATATCAATGCTTGTGTGTAATGAGTCGATTTTTGAGTCGACTCAAAAATCACCTTTATATCAATGCTTGTTGTTGTCTTGCTGCAGGGAGATGAGGGAATGAAGGGCCCCTTTGCCACTCGATTGGCTGGATCTGCAGACATGTACCATGTGAGATGACATGTACCACGTGAGGTGACATGTACCACGTGAGATGACATGCACCACGTGAGATGACATGTAGCATGTGAGATGACATGTACCATGTGAGATGACATTTACCACATGGCATGACTTGTTCCACGTGAGATGATATGCACATGTGAGACGAAGCGTATGGCAAATTGTTTGAGGTTTCTTTTGCCGTGTGAAGTGAAGTGTGCCATGTGCAGTGACACATAGATCTATTCCAAAAATGCATGTGTCGGTTGTCTGCGTAACCACGTGCACGAGCGAACCAGCGCAAGCTTGCAACATCAACTCTCTCCTATCTAGCCCCTCCTCTCCCCTCCCTTATTTCTCCCCCCTCCTCTCCCCTCCCTCCTCTCTCGCCCCTCCTCTCTTCCCCCTCCTGTTTCTCCCCTCCCCTCTCGCCCCTCCTCTCTCGCCCCTCTGCTCTCTGCCTAACCGCATGCATGTGCACAGGTGAACCAGCTCAGGCCCGACACATCATGCCTCCATCCTATATATCCCCTCTTCGCTCCCTCCGTCTCCCTCCCCCCCTGCTTGCCTAACTGGATGCATGATGCATCCACAGGTGAACCTTGAGTCGACTCAAAAGGTGTATTTTGAGTCGACTGAAAATACTAACTGGATGCATGATGCATCCACAGGTGAACCAGCACAAGCCTAGAACATCATCTCTCTCCTATCCACCCCCTCCTCTCTTCCCCCTCCTGTCTCGCCCCTCCTCTCTCGCCCCTTCGCTCTCTGCCTAACCGCATGCATGTGCACAGGGGCACCAGCGCCAGCCCGACACATCATGCCTCTCTCCTGTATATTCCCTCTTCGCTCCCTCCCTCTCTCTCCCTCTCCCTCCCCCCTTGCCTGCCCAACTGCATGCATGATGCATCCGCAGGTGAACCAGCGCAAACCTTACCACAGCATCAACTTTGTCATCGCCCACGATGGGTTCACGCTAAGGGACCTGGTGTCATACAACCTCAAGGTAAGCATTCGCATTCACGGCAGCGTCAAAAGTGTGTGTGTGTGCGCCTGGCAAGTGCCCCAACTCTGTTGTTGCAGCGTCATGGTGTGTGTGTGTGTGTGTGTGTGTGTGTGTGTGTGTGTGTGTGTGTGTGTGTGTGTGTGTGTGTGTGTGTGTGTGTGTGTGTGTGTGTGTGTGTGTGTGGCTGGCAAGCCCTACCACAGCATCAACCTTGTGATCGCCAACGATGGGTTCATGCTAAGGGGCCTCGTCTCCTTCAACCTCAAGCCAAAACGGCACGCCAAGACACCTTATGGCAGCGTCCGGCTGCGTGACGGGCCCTACCGCAGGATCAACTTTGTTCACAGGAATCAACTTTGCAAGTAGGCCAGCGTCCGGCTGCGCACACGATGGCCTCACCCTCTAGATTCCGTGTGTAATGAGTCGATTTTTTAGTCGGCTCAAAAATCGATGGCCTCACCCTCTAGATTCACAGGCAGGCCCATTGGGAGGAGGGGAGGAGGAAGACAGCTGCAATCTCCCCAATCTTATCACACAACACACACCCCCTCTCCCTGCACCTTTCCCCATGCCTCACCTTCCCCTCCCTACAGCACAATGAGGCGAATGGGGAGGAGGGAAGGGACGGCAGCAATGACAACTACAGCTGGAACTGTGGGGCGGAAGGTGAGGAGACTTTACTTGGAGTGTTGACTTGGAACCGTTGACCCGCTAACCCGCTAACCCGCTGACCTGCTAACCCACTAACCCGCTGACCCGCTACCCCGCTGACCTACCCGCTAACCCGCTGACCGGCTGACCGGCTGACCCACTCACCCACTCACCCACTCACCCACTCACCCACTTACCCATTCACCCACTCACCCACTCACCCACTCACCCACTCACCCACTCACCCACTCACCCGCTCAACCCGTGATCCGCTCACCCGCTGGCCCGCTCTCCCGCTGGCCCGGTCACCCGGTCACCCGCTCACCCGCTCACCCGCCCACCCGCTCACCCGCCCTCCCGCTGAACCGCTGACCCGCTAACCTGCTAACCTGCAAACCTGCTCCCACGTGAGCATGATTTTTCTTTGCCCTTTCCTGCTGCCCACTGCATTGTTCCCTCCTAGCATCACCGCCTACTTTGTAACTGGTCTCGTTTCTCCTGTCTTTGCTACTCATTTGCATCTCCTGGTCCGCTGCTGCCTGCCAATTCCATCGCTTCCAACCCTGCAGGTCCCACGCAGGACGAGGGGATTATTGCGTTGAGGAACCGGCAAATGAGGAACTTCCACCTGGCGCTCATGTTATCGCAGGTGAGTAGACGGACAGTTGGCAGGCGCTGATTGTGCCGATGGCGCTCATGGTGTCGCAGGTGAGTTCGGTGAAGGAATGAGCGAGCACTTGCGCGCATTGTGATGGAGAATGATGCATTTGGATACATAGCCTTGGCACATTGTACCTTGGATCGGAACGCTCTTTCTTGAACATTTTGCCTTGGTGGATCCCATTTGCTATATGTCATATGCTTATCCTTGTCGAATATGATGTGCCATTTGATGTGCCATATGCATGTGCGTGTGCGTGTGAGCAGGGCACCCCTATGATGCTGATGGGGGATGAGTATGGGCACACACGCAATGGCAACAACAACAGCTATGGCCATGACACTGCGCTCAACCATTTCCTCTGGAACCAGGTGGGTATGGCACCTGGTGGCTGTAATACGGCATTTGTAACAGTACAGCTGTGTGACTCTGTCCCATTATGGCTTACCACGGTATCAACAATAACAACTATGGCACTGCACTCAACCATTTCCTCTGGCACTAGGTGGGTGTGGCATCTAATGGCTGTACGGCTGTGTGACTATGTTCCACAATGGCTTACCATGGTATCAACAACAGCAGCTATGGCCATGGCACTGCGCTCATCCACTTCCTCTGGAACCAGGTGGTTGTGACACCTGGTGACTGTACAGCTTTCGTGAACGGCTTTGTGACCTTGTCCAGTAAAGGCTTTGTGACCCTGCCTGCCTGTCTCCCCCTCCCTAGTTCCCTTGGTCACTTCACAGAAGCGGTCAAGCGCCTGTGGTCCTGCCTGCCACCCACCAGTCTTCACCCTCTGTCTCCCCATCCCTAGTTCCCTTCCTCTCACCACTCGTTGTCTCCCCAGTTGGAGCAGAACCGCTCGTCTCTCTTCCGCTTCACAGCAGCGGTCAACCGCCTTTGCTCATAGCACCAAGCCCTCCACCCCCCCTGCCCGGTTCCCCTCCTCTCACCATTAGATGTCTCCGCCATTTGTTGCCTCCCACTCACAGGTGTGAGGGAGCACTCTACGATTTACACAGGTGTCATCACACAAGTTGGACCCCCTGCCCGATTCCCATCCTCTCACCATTAGATGTCTCCGCCATTTGTTGCCTCCCCCTCACAGGTGTGAGGGAGCACTCTACGATTTACACAGGTGCCATCACACAAGTTGCTGCCACGTATTGACACAATGGCACCTATTTGGTGTTCAATTGGACCCCTGCCCGGTTCCCATCCTCTCACCATTAGACGTCTCCGCCATTTGTTGCCTTCCTCTCTCCCACCATCTTGTGTGCCCCCTCAGTTGGAGCAGAACCGCTCGTCTCTCTTCCGCTTCACAGCAGCGGTCAACCGCCTTCGCTCCTGGCACCCAGCCCTGGGCCAGGCCAACTTCCTCTCACCTGTAACCCCTGAACCTCTTCTCACCAGGTGACTTTGAGTCAAATCAAAGTCACCGCCTGCGCTCCTGGCACCCAGCCCTTGGCCAGGCCAACTTCCTCTCACCTGTAACCCCTGAACCAATTCTCACATCCCAGAGAGTGGCACGTGAGTACATGCTTGTACATTCCAAAGCTAGTTTTGCTCAGTCTTTAGCCAGTGACAGGGTCTAGCAGCTCACCTTTCGGAACCCTCAGTCAAGGTAGGATTCACAGCACATCTGTACTTCCAGCATATTTTCAGCCCATTTTTCGCCTTTCGGAACCCCCAGTCAAGGAAAGATTCACAGCACATCTGTACTTCCCGCATATTTCAGCCCATTTTTCGCCTTTTGGAATCCCTGTTCAAAGGATCTACCAGCGATTTTTGCCTGCTGCCTGAATTCCACATCCAGCTTCTTCTTTTTTCTTGTTTTTTAAGCCCTAAAGCCTTGCTCCGGGTCCTTTTCTCTCACCATGTATGTGGTCCACACCCAGGGGGACATCACCTGGCATGAAGACAACTGGGACAACTATGAGAGTAGATTCCTTGCCTTCTCGTAAGTCTGCTCCCACGTACTCGCCATTCGCCTGCAGTTAAGTGTCGCAGTTGAGAATCCAGCTTGCTGTAGTGAGTTTTCCAGGTTGCTGTTGGTCAAACTGGCTCCCCTCTCATCACAGTTGCTTACTTTCCTAACTAAGTCCATTGACAAAGGTTGGCTGTTGTTGTATCCTACATCCCGTTTCTCAATTGGTGCAGCTTGCACGACGTCTCTGGGATGTGTGGCGACCTGTATGTGGCATTCAACGCTCATTCCTTTGCTGTGGGCGCTGGTCTACCTCCCCCGCCCCCTGGTCGCCAATGGGTTCGCTTGGTGAGTGCACTCTTCTTTTCTGGCTGCATGGTTTAAATCGAATTTGTTCATTGAAAAATTATTACTGTGTATTATTATCCTTTGGCCGCCCTGCCATTAACCATTTCCCTTCTAATGCCCCCCCTCCCCCCCCCCACACCCCACACCCCCCCCTCTGCCCCCCTTCTCTTTGTGTTGGGTTGGGTGGGGCAGGCTGACACCAACTTGCCGTCCCCACGTGACATTGTCGATGACCTTGAGACGATTGCAACCAATGGCCGTGTAATCAGTGGCACTTACAACGTTGCTCCGCAGTCTACCATAGTGCTTCTTGCTGCTAAGGCGTAATTAGAGGTTTTGAACGAAGAGTATATTCTTGTCACTTGAAGTGTTCACTAATAAACTCCTCCAAATGAGGCGGAGTTTAACGCACAGTATTGCTGAAATGGACGGCAGGGATTGATGCCCGAACTTCCGGAGCCAACACTCAACCACAGCCACTGGTTACCGCGTCCCTCCTCGCACCTGGGGCTTGCCGCGCAGCCGCAATTGCAGGGAAAAAAGCGCGGGAAAGGCGATCAAAGCTTGAGGCCCAGCAGAACTCCTCCCCGGCCTGGAGGTGATTGCAATGGCGGTTGATGGTGCTTCAATCATTACCCGAAGCTTATCAGGCTCCACTCCACTTATGGTCGCTTGTAGAAGCGTTCTCTGGTCGTCTGGTCCGTGCTCGTAGCTGCTCTGAGAAGCTCGTGTAATATCTAAGTCCCGTGGTCCGCGTATGTTTCCTCTCCGAGAAGGAAGAAGTAATCTACGTTCAGCGGTCGGAGTTGCCATGGAGAAGCGCAAAGCCAGGCCCGGCCAGTAAGGCGAGCACTGGAATCTGGATCGCATTTAGGGAATAGATTACCCGAGATTTAGCGGTTTTGCCTGACGTGACTGAGTATCCCGGTCTTCCCTCGAAGCTGCTCGCCCAAGGCTACAAGTTCTTTGCCTGAAGTAACTGACCCGGTCTTCCCTCGCAGCTCCCTCCCAGAGGCCCTTAGAGTCCCATCTGGCTGATCAGCAGTACGCGAGGCCGCGAGCGAGCGGCTTCAGATGTTCGTTTGGTTCCCTGACGGATTCAGTCAGAGTAGACGGCATTTTTGAGGCGCCTCAAAAATTGACGGATTCAGTCAGAGTAGACGGCATTTTGCACGGCAGCAGTAGTAGACGGCAGAGTGTCGGCAAGGTCCAATCCTCGTACGCGCCTAGGATAACTCGTTAGCATACGTGTCGTTGGGTGTCACGATGCGGGATAAAAGCATCTGCAACGCATTCCGTCTAGCAGCCACGAGAGCTCTTATAGGAACGAGGCACCCAACGACGCACCATGTGGGGCACAGAGCTCTTGTTCCGAATGTTCTCTTTCCGAAAACTCCTCATTCCTCACCAACATTACCGTTTGCAAGCGCAGAAGGTAGCTTAACTCGCAGATTTGCCAGCCATAGTATCCTGAACGGTAACCGAATCAACGGCGCGGATCAAGCCAGCAGGGTCACGATCAACGGCCGTCTTTTCTCGCTGATCAAGATCGTGGGAAATCTTGCAACCAGGCGGCTTCTTCGTTCCAGCATCTCCGGGTTTCGCGCCGGAAAAGCCGCGTCTGATGTGACGAAAGCAGACGTAGATGGCATCGCGTACCGTCCGTCGATTCTTTTCCGTCTGACACGTGGCGCGGTCGGATTGGGCGTCGTGGGTGCCCTGGGATGGGCTGCAATGGGAGAAGATCCGATGCTTCGATTGAAGCTCCTCGTTACAGTGCCGGTGCGCGTCGGGAGGATGGTTGCTACAGTCGGCGCCATGGTTGCTGGTGGGTGTTTTCACATAACCAGTCGCTAGTTCCTCTCTCCAATACGGCTTTTTCTCAAAGCCCTCGTCAAGAACTGTAGCTAAGTGCTGCAGCGATATCGTTTCTTCTGTCTCCTCCGTACCTGCTCGGTTGAACTTTATTCTTTCCGCTTGCCCAGATTACAAAACGTCTCTGCGCGGGCTGCCCGCGGACAGCGAGGAAAAGGAGCAGGCGAAGAGGCAGTGCCATTTGAGGTGTGCGGATCGGCTGCAGGCGCTGTGCTTCCGGAATGGAGGGATCTACATCAAGCTGGGGCAACACATTGCTCAGCTGGTGGGTGGGAGTGGGGATGTGACAATGGATGGTGTGACACTAGATTGTGTGGCAATGGCGAGTGTGATGCTATGCGGATCAGCTGCAGGCGCTGTGCTTTCGGAACGGAGGGATCTACATCAAGCTAGGGCAGCACATAGCTCAGCTGGTGGGTGTGATTGTTGGCGAAGGGAAGAAGATTGGGGTGTGACTATGTCGAATGGGTAAGAGATCGGCTGCAGGCGCTGTGCTTCCGGAATGGAGGGATCTACATCAAGCTGGGGCAACACATTGCTCAGCTGGTGGGTGGAGTTGGGGTGTGACAACAAATGGTGTGACAATAAACGATGTGCCAATGGCGGGTGTGATGATTCGCGGATCGGCTGCAAGCACTGTGCTTCAGAAACGGAGGGATCTACATCAAGCTAGGGCAACACATAGCTTAGCTGGTGGGTGGAGTTGGGGTGTGACAATAAACGGTTTGACAATGGCGAGTGCGATGTTATGCGGTTCGGCTGCGGAGCACTGTGCTTTCGGAATGGAGGGATCTGCATCAGACAGGTGTGTGCCATTGTTGAAATCGGGGATTAGGTTGGGGTGTGACTATATCGAGCGTGGTAACTGATTGTGCTGGCCGGATAAGAGGTCGGTTGCAGGTGCTGTGCTTCAGAACGGAGGGATCTACATCAAGCCGAGGTGACACATTGCGCAGCTGCCAGCTGGTGGGTGTAATTGTTGGAATAGGGAGAGGGTTGTGACTATAATGCTGTATCTGGTTGTAATGGTTGGATAAGAAACCGGTGGTCAAACTCCAGGATCCATCTATAAACCTTCTGATAAAACCCCCATAAATCTCCCCATGAAAACCCCCATAAACCTCCCCAGAAACCCACGCCTCCATAAACCCCCACATATTCCCCCTCGTTGCTCCCTTCGTGCTTTCAGGACTACATAGTGCCTGAAGAGTATGTGACTGTAATGAAGGAGTCTATGCTGAACACATGTCCCGTCACCCCCTACGAGGACGTCCGGCTCCTCATCCAATCACAGCTCGGCAAACCACCCGAGGAGGTACGGTAAAAGTGGCTTGATGGAGGCACGGGTGAGGGGGTTCTGTGGAAGAGGCTGAATGGGAGTGCTGCTGAGCTGAAGAGTTCTTGCATATGAAGTCTTTTAATGCCTCGTGGTTTTGAGTCGACTCAAAAGCAGATAGTTTCTCAATCCGTCATGTCGGTGCCGGTGTCGCTCCCAGACTCTGTTTCTATTCCTATTTACGTTTCCCCGTATGCTTGCACCCAGATTTTCTCCTTCTTTGACCCAGCGCCCGTTGCAAGCGCTTCTCTGGCTCAGGTCCACCGTGCGACGCTGAAGTCAGGAGAAGACGTGGCTGTGAAGGTGAGGCCTTTCCTTGACTGCTGACAGGCCCACAAATGCCGACTTGGAGTGGAGATGTGTCTTGACCTGGTGCTCCATTGCTCAAGTCACGGCATAGAAAGGAGGGCTATTTTCACTGTTGGAAGTCACCATCCAAGTCACCATCCAAGTCACCATCCGAGTCACCATCCAAGTCACCATCCAAGCACCTGTCCATCCGAGTCACCATCCAAGTCACCATCCAAGTCACCATCCGAGTCACCATCCAAGTCACCATCCAAGTCACCATCCAAGTCACCACCCTACTGTCTGTCAGTCAAGCATCTCCACTCCCCCTCCGCCTCCTCCCCCGCTCTCTCCCCTCCTTCTCCCACTTCCACTCCTATCCCAGTCTCCCCCAACCAGGTGCAGCAGGCTCATCACAGCAGCACCATACGTGGTCTCTGTCAATACTATGCACTCCCCCTTCTCCCCTCCCTCCCCCACTCTCCTCCCCCTTCTCCCAACCCCGCTTCTCTGTCTATCAACATTCTGCACTTCCTCCCCCCCCCCTCCCTCCCCCTCTCCCCCCCCGCCCCCGTTCCTCTCCCCCTACTCCCACCCCGCTCCTCTCCTACTCGCCGCCCCTCCCTATTCCCCCCACCAGGTGCAGCACGCGCACCTGCTGGACACAGCAGCAGCTGACATGGTGTCAGTCCGGCTCGTCATCTCTGCCTTGCATTGGTTCTTTCCGAGCCTAGATTATAGGTACAGTTTGGGGAGTGCATAGTACGGGAATGCAATTTGGGGTGTATCCCATCGTCTCATGAGAAAGTGGCCCGTTGCAGTGGCTCTTGCACACAATCTACCACAATCTCTTGCGCACAATCTACCATTGTTCCTTTTCCGCACAATCTACTCCGTTCCTATTCCGCACTCTTGAGTCGACTCAAAAGTCACCTTATTCTGCACTCCTCTATTTTTGAGGCGCCTCAAAAATAGATTCCTCTCTTCCATCTCTTATATTCCTTTCCCATTTCTGAGGCGCCAAGAAAGTGGAGACACAATTACTCATCATTGTGTCTACTCCATTCTCGGAGTAATTTTCTTGGAGTAATTTTCTACGCCTTTCCCATTCCTTCTTTGTTTTGCCAAACACACAGCCCCTACCAACATCGCCAAGACGCCAACATCGTCTTGGCGACATCGCCAACCCCTACCAGCAATTTTCTACTCCTTTCCCATTCCTTCTTTCTTTTGCCAAACACACAGCCCTGCCTAGCCTTCGTGTCTGCTCTCTGGCCTTTTGCTTCTTTGTCGAAACGGTGGAAAGCTTTTTGCATTGAAAAGGTGAGGTCACCTGTAATAGTCAACATCGCTCCCATCACCCCCATTGCCCCCATCTGCTCTCCCCCTTTCCAGATGGTTGATCACTGAGGTGGAGGAGAGCTTACCCAAGGTACAAAATACTCTTCTCTTTCAGTGCTATTGAAATTGCTCTGAAATGTACGTTGCTGCTCATTATGACCCATGCCAACAGACTCCGACCAATCTGTTACTCCCTGGTCATTATTGCCATCCGCCCGTGGCTGCCCCCCCCCCCCCCCCCTCTCTCAAGTGGTCCATGGATTAATGAGTAAGCAAATTACATCCAGGCAGATATAGCAGCGCATGGGACAAACAGGCAGGGCAGCCCTAGCTACTGATCCCCCCTACCTCCCAGGCCACCCCCCCCCCCCCCCTCCTCCCTTCTCCCCCTCCAGCGTTTGGAGGACGTCCCCAAGGTGGAGCGGCCAAGGCAAGCGTTTGGAGGACGTCCCCGGGGCTTGGGGTGGGAGGCTGCGATGCCTGCAATTGAAAGCATCCATTCCTCAGCGTTGTTTGAAAATTCTTGAGAATTCTAAAAAATCGCCTACAGCTTGGGGGTGGGCGGCTGCGCTGCCTGCAACTGAAAGCATCCATTCCTCAGCGTTGCTTCGCCAGCTTTGCATGCCTGCTACCCATTTCATTTGCATGCTTGGTTGACTTGAATGTACGTGATTTCTTAGAATTCGAATGAAACCACCTAGGTCCAATCGTTTCCCGCCAATGTTCGGGCTCCTTGCCGTGAGTGTATCACTGCTCCCCACGTGTATCATACGATCACCTCATCTTCTCATCAGGAGCTCGATTTCTGCCTGGAGGAGGCATCCAACGGTCAGCATCACATGATCAGCTTCCAATCCTCGCCGTCAAACCTCCCCTTCCCCACCTTCCCACGTGCGTCTGTTCTACCTCTCATGATCCCATCAGGAGCTCGATTTCCTTCTGGAGGCATCCAACGGCCGGCATTGCTTGGCCAACTGCCAACTTCCAATCCTCACCGTCAAACCTCCCCTTCCCCTTCTTTCCACGTGCCTCTGATCCTTCTGCCATCAGGAGCTCGATTTCGTTCTGGAGGCATCCAACGGCCGGCATTGCATGGCCAACTTCCAATCCTCGCCGTCCAAGCTCTTGCGGGAGTCCGTTGCGGTGCCGAGAAGCTTCCCGGAACTTACCGGGCAGCGTGTGCTGACTATGGAGTGGATGGAGGGCGTGCCTCTGACTGACGTGGCACGGCTCAAGGACATGGGGATCAACCCTGCTGACGTGGCAAAGCTTGTGAGTTGCTGACGTGGCAAAAGTTAGGACATTTCGAGTCTGCTTCTGAGTGGGCGTTAGTCGGGTTTGGCGAATGTCTTTCATTCTCCTCCTCCCCCCCTCCCTTTCGTTTCCCCCCCCTCTCCTCCCCTCCACTCCCCCCCCCCCTCCTGTTCCCGCTTTCGTCTCTCCTCGCTCTCACCCAACTGTCCAGATCAGCACGGCATTCGCTGAGATGATTTTCCGCCATGGCTTTGTGCACTGCGACCCCCACGCTGCCAACGTGCTGGTGCGGGCTAAGAAGGGAGGACGGAAGATGCCTGGTGGTGAGTCAGTCTGCAGCGAGTTCGTAAAACATTGCTTCAAGTACAACTAGTCGACCAGGCGATCCGCTTCGCCTCAACGACGCCCACCTGTGGAAGGCCCTAGTCCTGGCTGACCCCCGGGGCATCATGTAATACCCTCAACCACCACTCCTCTCTCCCCCCCCCCCCAATCCTCAGGCCATCTGGAGCCCGAGATCGTCTTGCTAGACCATGGGCTGTACCGACAACTAGACGACTCCCTTCGCCTCAACTACGCCCACCTGTGGAAGGCCCTAGTCCTGGCTGACCCCCGGGGCATCATGGAGTACAGCATCGCCCTGGGAGCAGGGGCGGACCTGTATGCGATATTTGCTGCTACGCTGACGCTGAGATCGTGGGAGAACATTGTGGAGGCGTCTTCGGACCACCTGTTCATTCCAGACACGGCTGAGGAGAAGAAGCACCTGCAGGTGGGTGAGAGGGATGATGGGGGGGGCGAGATGGAGGGATGGATGCAAGGGGATAGCAGAAGGAGGGAGAATGTAGTGGAGGTGTCTTCAGGGCATTATGGAATATAGCATCGCCCTGGGAGCAGGGGCGGACCTGTATGCGATATTTGCTGCTACGCTGACGCTGAGATCGTGGGAGAACATTGTGGAGGCGTCTTCGGACCACCTGTTCATTCCAGACACGGCTGAGGAGAAGAAGCACCTGCAGGTGGGTGAGAGGGATGATGGGGGGGGCGAGATGGAGGGATGGATGCAAGGGGATAGCAGAAGGAGGGAGAATGTAGTGGAGGTCTCTTCAGGGCATTATGGAATATAGCATCGCCCTGGGAGCAGGGGCGGACCTGTATGCGATATTTGCTGCCACGCTGACGCTGAGATCGTGGGAGAACATAGTGGAGGCGTCTTCGGACCACCTGTTCATTCCAGACACGGCTGAGGAGAAGAAGCACCTGCAGGTGGGTGAGAGGGATGATGGGGGGGGCGAGATGGAGGGATGGATGCAAGGGGATAGCAGAAGGAGGGAGAATGTAGTGGAGGTGTCTTCAGGGCATTATGGAATATAGCATCGCCCTGGGAGCGGGGGCGGACCTGTATGCGATATTTGCTGCCACGCTGACGCTGAGATCGTGGGAGAACATAGTGGAGGCGTCTTCGGACCACCTGTTCATTCCAGACACGGCTGAGGAGAAGAAGCACCTGCAGGTGGGGAACCGGGGAAAGTGGGTGGAGGGGGTGTTGGAGAGGGTTTTAGGGGAAAAAGGGGGTTGATTTGACCGTGGTGCGAGGTGCTTCGTCTGGTTCACTTGGCTAAGGTACAGTGCCATGCTTGCACTTGTGCCCTCTCAAGCTTATTCACCAGTCAGTATCGCTCCAGCTCCCTCCATCCCTCCCAAGTGGTCACTCGTATCACTCGTATCATTCGTATCACTCGTATCACTCGTATCATTCGTATCATTCGTATCATTCGTATCACTCGTATCACTCGTATCATTCGTATCATTCGTATCATTCGTATCACTCCTATCACTCGTATCATTCGTATCATTTGTATCACTCGTATCATTCGTATCATTCGTATCATTCGTATCTTTCGTATCACTCGTATCACTCGTATCATTCGTATCATTCGTATCACTCGTATCATTCGTATCATTCGTATCATTCGTATCATTCGTATCACTCGTATCACTCGTATCATTCGTATCATTCGTATCACTCGTATCACTCGTATCATTCGTATCACTCGTATCATTCGTATCATTCGTATCATTCGTATCACTCCTATCACTCGTATCATTCGTATCATTCGTATCACTCGTATCATTCGTATCATTTGTATCATTCGTATCACTCGTATCACTCGTATCATTCGTATCATTCGTATCACTCGTATCACTCGTATCACTCGTATCATTCGTATCATTCGTATCATTCGTATCATTCGTATCATTCGTATCACTGGAACCTGGGTACATGCTGAGCCGGCGAGGTAAGTGCAAATAGAGACATCAAGGGCTGCCCGGGACTCGTCCCACTGGAGCTTATTCACCAGTCGTGATCGCTCCAGCTCCAGCTCCATCGACAGTCACAGTCAACTGCAGCGGCACGTTTCATCTCAACGACATCACACATCTTCCTGAACGGTTGCCTTGCGAGTGACTCAACAGTCACACAAACACTCTCCCCCCCCCCTTTTCCTGCTCTCCCCTCTCTCCCCATCTATTCCCCCCCTTTTCCTGCTCTCCCTTCTCTCCCCATCCTTCCCTGGCCCTGCAGAAATCCGCTGCTGCCTATTTCAACGACATCACACGCCTCCTAGCACGGCTGCCCCGTGTGCTGCTGCTGCTGCTTAAAACCAATGACTGCCTGAGGTCCCTTGACACCGCCCTGGTAAGCATTTGGTTTGCAATTGGTGTAGTCCTCCTGCTGCTGAAATAATAATTTGGGTGGGTCCATACCAATGACTGCGTATGGTCCAGGCCTCTTGCTAACAGGGTAGTTACCCTTAATGTCGAGAAATTAAGAGTGACTTTTCAAGTGATTCCGTTTTTTTACAGTGCGGTTTTTTTCCGAATCCGTCCAACTTATGGAAACAATTTCGCGCGATTCCTTAGCCTAACGAGTGACTTTTTTCCGAATCCGTACGGGCTATACTTGTAGCAGGGCAATCTGTAGGGGGGCCATACTTAGCCCCGCGCCCCCCCACGCCCCCCACCCCTTTCCCCCTGCCTCTGATCACTTGCTAGCCGAATCTGTCGCGGCCGATTCCTTTCGGTAACGGGTTTTTTTGCGGGAATCCCGTCTGTTAACGGGTAATCCTGAGGCGATTCTGTCCCCTTCCGGAATACCCTGGGGCTTAGCGATAGGCCTGGTATGGTCCCTTGACACCGCCCTAGGAAGCATTGGGTTTGCAATCGGTGTAGTTCTTCTGCTGCTGCAGTACTACTTTGGCTGGTCAATACCAATGACAACGTAGGATCCCTTGTCACTGCCCTGGTAGGGACTGTTTGGCTTTTCCAAGGGCTAACTCTTGGCCTTTGAAGCTGAGATGAAGAAGTTTGCAACCCCCCCCCATGCACGCTCTCTCTCTCCTCTGCCTCGCCTTTTCCCTGTGTCTGTAACCACCCTTCGTTTCTCGTCTACAGGGCACTCCAGTGAACACTTTTATGATAACTGCTCGTGAATGCACCCAGGCAATTGCTGATGCGGATGAGAAGGCACTTATCGCAAGAGCTCCAAATTCCTTGGGAGTCCGTTGGAAGGCATATCTGAGCAAAAGGCTTCAAATAGCACAAGTGGAGCTGCAATTATTGAAGCTAGAAGCCGCAGTGTGGCTTGCACACTTAGCTTCATGGGCTAGAAGTCTTGCTCAAGGATGGGCCGGGCACAAAAAGAGGGCATCGCCGAAGGTGAAAGACGGTATATTGCTACTTGCCCCATCATAGAGAGTCACCTCTCGGCTGTATTTAATATGGCACTAGAAGTCGTGGCAAGGAAAGGCAGTTCGTTTATTGTACAACAGTTGTGGTATGTATGGTGTACTTAGAGACATGTGAATGTGACATGTACGTAAAGCCACATGGCGTATGGAAAAATGTATCGAAACTAGTGTTAAAATTATATAAGTTATAATTTTATATAGGCTTGGTAGGTTGCTACTGAACCTTTCTGTAGGGGGTACAAACCCCTCCTTGTACTCCCTTCTCTTCCTAATCTAACACTCTTTCTTCTCGACTTTCCTCCTACTCCTAGATCCGTTTTTCCTAGCGCCGTTCCATGGCGGCCTTGCTCCTATCCTAGCTAAGCTAGTGTCCTAACTTTAGGGACCTAGCATCCTAAGTTCTTAACATGGTATCAGAGCAGGAGATCCCTCCTGCTGGACTGCCTCCTCTCGCTTCCGCCATTTACTCCTCACCCTCATTCACTCCAGCGGCCATGGCGGCCGCGTTTTGCTGCAGTGGCGACGTCGCGCTGCCACTGGGCGCGTCGTGCCGCGACCGGCCCGACGCGCTGCCGCGGAATCGGGCCGTCGTTCTGCAGTCGCAGCGTCGACGCCCCGCTGCGGCATCGACGCTGCCATGGCGGCCGCGGCGGCGTCACGCTGTGGCGTCGTCGTCTGTTCGCCGGCTGCGCCGTCCTGCCGCGGCCGTCTCGACGCGCGACCGGGACGACGTCAGCGCGACGCCGCGGCTGCGCCCCTCCTGGGCCTCGTCGCGCCCTGCCTGGCCTCATCGCACCCGCTCGGCCCCGTCGCGCCCTGCCTGGCCCCGTCGCCCTCTGCCCGGCCCCGTCGCCCCCTGCCAGGACGCCGTCGTCCCGCCTGTAAGCGCCGCGCCATTTATGGCGCGACGCTGAAGACTCGCCCCGCCCCCCCCCCCCCCCCCCCCCCCCCCCCCCCCATTCTCCCTTCCCCCTGCGTCTTCCCTTCCTCCTGTCGCAGCTGCTGTCTTCTGCCCGGACGTTGCCACATCGCCGAGAGCCCTCAGCCGCGGCAGTCGCCGCCTGTCGTCGGCGACCCAGCCGCCTTGAGCCAGAGCTCCGCGGCTGCTTGTCGCTGACCCGCCTAGACGCCGTCGGCTGCCTCGTGTACGGGGGTGTGTCAACGCTTTGCCTGAGGGTCAGATACCCGGCTAAGCACGAGCCTGAGGGTGTGGGGGGTTAGGGGGTGGGTTGGGTGCGGGTGTGGGGGTGTGAGTGGGCTTGACACTACCAAGCCTAGGGGGTGTGTTAAAATTATATAAGTTATAATTTTATATAGGCTTGGTAGGTTGCTACTGAACCTTTCTGTAGGGGGTACAAACCCCTCCTTGTACTCCCTTCTCTTCCTAATCCAACACTCTTTCTTCTCGACTTTCCTCCTACTCCTAGATCCGTTTTTCCTAGCGCCGTTCCATGGCGGCCTTGCTCCTATCCTAGCTAAGCTAGTGTCCTAACTTTAGGGACCTAGCATCCTAAGTTCTTAACAACTAGGTCTTTGGCTCCTACCTTGCACCAACGTCGGAGCTTGACTCTCGGAACACGTCCCGATCATGCTAATGTCGCGTACGCCGCTCGTCTCCCTGCCCCCTTTCTTTCCCTCCAAAAGCCCCTCTCTTTCTCAACTTTCAGCCGCCGCATTCCAAAATCCGCTCGGCTCTGACTCCTATCCAATCAGCCATGGCCGCCGTTATTCCGAGTCGCATCGCATTGACCCCACCTTAAGGTCCGTCCGCCACGTCGAATCGTCACTCACCCAAGCCATTTGGATCCTTCTCCCGATTCAACTCACCTGGACCGCTAACGCTTTTGTCGAACCTCCCAGCGAGCCTCGTAGTAGGTTTCACCCACCGCTTTCTAAGCCGTTAGGTCTTTTTGCCGCGTACGCCGAGCATTGGCCTTAAAAAACGAAACCGTGCGGCTCGTGTTGTCGCCTCGCGTTGTTGTTTCGCGTTCCGCCGCGCGATGCCTTCCAGGCAGCGGTGACTAGGTTGGCGGTGGAAAACGAATTCAATTCGTGTAACGACAAAATAGTGGCCGGGAACCGAATTCAATTCATTTAGCAACCAATCGGTGGCTAGTAATTACGAATTCGATTCGCTTAGCGACAAATCCAGCGGTGGGCTCTCGGCAGCGTTGTCCCGCCAGGCTCGCTCACCCACCCTCACCGTGACTCTCCGCGTGCTCCTTCCGACTACGCAATCCTCTTGCTACACTCATTCCCATTCCACTTTGACGCGTTCCTCTCCACACGACCATTCTAGCTTCTCGCAATCGTCTCGCTGTGCTCATTATTCGATCTCTTGTCTCAGAAAAATCACGTGAAGCGGCCGCACGAGTAGCTCTCCGCCCAGGCTAGCTCCAAGGCTTCTTCGTTATTCGCGCTGTACGCTAGGTGCGAGACGCAATGAGTCAGCTTCCAGGTCCGCCTGGTCCGCCGCTCCATCGCTGCGCCCATCACGGCATCACCTCGCGTGATTCCTCGTCGGAGTAACACGGAGCGAAGGGGAGCTGCTCGCGCGGCGTTCTTTCTACAAGTTGCTGTCCGTCGTGACTTTAGGCTGCCGTCGGAGTAACGCGGAGTGGAAGAGAGCTGCCGTCCGCCCGGTGGTCACGGGCCGTGACCGACACGGGACGGGAGGACGGCCATCGTGAAACAACCGAGGCTCCTGGCGGTCGCGACGGAACTGTCGTTCGCATCGCAGCTGGCCGGTCGATGACGGTTGTGTCGAGGAGGATGCGAGGAAGGCTCCGTCGAGCGTCGCGTCATGATCTCCGTCGCCACCGCTTTCGGTAGGACTCTCGCTAACGAGAATCGTTGACGGTTCGTCGTCCTTTTCCCATTGTTTTTTCGTCCTTGTCTTTTTTTTTCCGCTTTTCTCGATTTCATTCGCGTCTTTTACACGACGTGTGGCTGACTTAATTGTTCTTAGTTTCTCTTCTCTTTCGGGACTTGCAGCTTCTCGCATGACGTGCGATGGCTGCCCAGCCATGACGACCGTCGGCAACGTGTCGCAACAGTCGCAATCGTCGCTTCCTTCGCAACCGTCGCATCGGTCGCACCCGTCGCGAGCGTCGCAGCCGTCGCGGCGTGGCGTCGGAGTAACGCGGAAATGATTGTTCCGCTGCTAACGATCATTCCAACGCGGACGATTTTAAAAAGAATCGCATCGGTAAGTGGTAGGAAATAGCTAGAGGGGGGGCGAGTAGGCGTCCGCCGCATAGCGCGTCGCTAGTCCCTTTCCTGCTGCTCAAGTCATCGCTCTTGCTGCTACTAACGCACTCCCTATCGTGCCTCTGTTTCCGATTTCGTGCGTGCGCACGTGACCGACGGCGTGTGAGCACGTCTGCGCTCTCGTGAGTCGTGGAGCTGCTGAGCGGCGGGAGATCGCAATCCCGTTGCACTCGCGGTAGCATCTCTGAAGAGGATTGAGGTCGAGATCCAACCACCTTGCCTCGCTCCCGTTGCTCGCTCCTGTCGCAACCGTCGCACCCGTGTGCACTCGCGGTCGCATCTCTGAGGAGGATTTGTTGTGAGTGGCACGTGATGTGCGTGCCACATTTCTCTCGCCACTCCAACCCCCCCCCCTCCAAAACCGCTCGTTACAATTCTTCACCTACCCCAACCTATTCCCCACCAACCAAACCTACTCTACCTACCAAAATTCCAACCCAACTTTTCCAGCTCATCTCCTCCAACCTAATGCCTCCCAACTACTCCTTAATTTCCCCAGCTCTCATAATCATTCCTAGTCCACCTCAACCAAGCCTCCAACCAATCCTTCTATTCATCTCCAACTCCCACCTCAAGGCACATAACTCTTCATCATTTTTCATGTGCTCTCTCTTCCTACTCATCAAGAATTCTCCAAGATATCTAATCCAACCAATAATCCTCCTAACATGTGACTCAAGCACATTCCTCCCTTTCCTACTCATCAACCTCCACATGCCCCTTATTTATTCCTTCCTTCGTTCCTATCCCAAGTCATCCAAGTTGCCATATCATCACACAAGACTCTCATGATTCCTTACATTCCTCACTTTCCAGCTCAACAAAGCTTTCATTCCTCCTCCTTTCCTTCCTTTCCAACTCATCCAAGTTTCTCTCCAACACCACATGGTTTACAACTCCAAGACACCAAAGGCTCAACAACCATCACATGCTCCGTTACTATTCATCTTCACCAAGGATGCTCTCCAACTTCTCAAGAAGTTTCTCAAAGTACAACAAGGCATCTCCAAGCTCCTCTCCTTCAAGCTCCTCTCCTTCAAGCTCCCCTTCAAGTCTTCTTCAAGCTCCTCAAGTTCACACCACTACAAAGGCTCCTTGTTAGCATTCATGTTCTATGTCTCTAGAGATGGTATTACCATGCTACCTTTCTTCCTAGACTACCATGAGTGGTCTCTCTCTCTCATGCATGTCCTTGTATCCACCATGGATTATCAGGCTTGTACCATTCCATATTTCATATAAGTTTATGCTCTCAGAGTTCTCCCACAAAGTTCCTAGATTAGCAAAGTAATCAAGCATTAGTCCATCTTATACCCAACTCGAGTATAAGATGCATCACCAAGACACAAGCTTGTAGAAAGATACTCTTTCTTCAACACTCAACCTTGTGGCACCTTCACTCTTCAAGTACAAGGCCCTCTCCTTCAACCACATCCAAGATTGTGGTCTCTCCTCGAGCTTGTAGTCTCCTCCCAAGCTTGTGGTCTTCTCCCAAGCTCAAGATCCTTTCCAAGTGCAAGTCCTCCTCTATCAAGAACCACTCCCAAGATCCTACAACTCTTCTATTTTGTAAGACACACAAAACTAAGTCTTTCAACCTTCTTCACAAGCATCTCTCCCTGGACAAGTCTCTTTTTACTCGCTTGAGTACATTTCCTTTATTTCTTACAAGCATATTATAATCTCATTTATATGCGCTACAGTTCTACTATTGCACTCTTGTCCTATTCAACCGTGCAATTATATTCTTTTGTCTTTATCTGAATTCTTATCTGGTATCAGAGCACGTATTATCCTCATTCCTTGCTTCTGCAAAGCCTCTCATAAAAAAAAAGGGCATAAAAGGCTCCACACTCACCTCCCTCCTCCTCCATGCCTCCCACAGTCAAGTACGACAATCAAAAGCGCACCACTTTACAAGAGGAATC